CCAAACGGCTGAATCATAGTACAGCACAGGACCAAGGAGTACGGTAGTCGATTCCTGCTGTCAGCCCACAAACACGCCACAGGGTCAACAGTCCATAAATCATGTTTGGGAAGGGCGCCCGAAAATTTCTTACTGGACTTAAAAAAAATCAAATCTAGTTCTCGGCGTAAATCTGCTTGCATTAAAGATAAGCCAAAGGCTGATCCCAGATTAAAAAATTGGTTTCCGAACCTTAGCGATGTTTCAAATCGATCCATCCTCTGCTTCGAATCGTTTATCCATAACAACACGTAAAATTTTACAAGATTACCAGCGTCCACAGAATGTATGTATAGTACGGGGAATAAAAACGGGGCCAACCAACAATCTATAACTTAGGTACGAGAACGAACAATAGTGGTGGCCGCATATAAAATAAAAATAAAAACGATATAAAAGGGTGGCTTATTTTGGTCTGCAGACGACTGGATAACGATGATTGGTGTCTCGCAGATCACGCAGCATATCTTCGTACTTTTCATAGTGCTGTCCCAAGTAACACATTTCGAAATTCTAAACGAAACTATAATAGCTTAGACAGATATACCACCTGAATCATGAGGAAAGCTTTGTAGCCGTAGGTGCTGCGCGATAGAATGTAGATGTACAACTTCTCATCTTGCAAATAGATTGGGCCGTCCGCGATATCAAGTTGCGAGATGATCTTGAATTGGCCTTCTATGTTGCAATCTTCCAAGTCGATGGCCACCATTCGGGGTTCTAGCACGTTGAGATGTTCTGGCGCGGCACGATCCTGGAAAAACGTCAAAAAATTGTCGAAGAATTCACCAGGATCATCTGTCGGATACTATCCTCCGTCGGCTTCCAGAGCGGAAGTGCAGGCTGTGGAGGATCATCGATCGGTGGGGCGTCGACTAACTCGACGCGCGAACGTAGGTAAATTTTTCGGCATTTTGGCAGCTAAAAAGCAAATGAGGGCCCGGGTAGCTAGCTTACAAATTCCAGCAACGCCTCGTAGCCGTTAGCGCACGCTTGACACGGATGCAAGTAGAAGCACGAACGATTGTCGCGAATCCATACAAAGTTCAACTAAAAGGTAGTCTAATGAGTTTGCCGACAAAACCTACTATTTCTCTATTCTCGAAGCCCCGTTGACGCATACGCTCAAGCAGCCTTGCCATGCAGATAAACCGTAGTGACACGCAGATGGACTGTCTCGCGATATCCAGGCCATCCAAACTCTCATGTGACTAAAATTTGAAAGTCAGCTTCTGAATCGGTACCAATACCATATCATCCACGTATCTCGTGTAGTAGACGAATCGCGGCCGAACGTGCTTGAGAAGATTGTTGACAGTCTCGTCACTGGGTAACGTCGTCCATTCCTTCGGATTTTCACGCCTAGATTGCGCTTGGAAAAATATCTATGAAAGACCTTACCCCAACTTAAAGCCCAGCCCATTTTCGTCGACGGTGACAGTGTAATGCTCATGATACTCATCGCAGAGTACGACGCGCAACTGAAGAAAAAATTGCGCAAATCCCAACTCCCAACCTTGCCAGGCTGACCATCAATGTGGACGCGCAACATCTTTTCCGGAAGTGGTCCATGCAGCTCGACAAAGTTCTTGAGGTCCTGCAACGGGAAAATTAACCAGAGCCTAATAAAAGAGACCACCTTGCATACTTGCCGGAGCCGTGCCCGCTCCAGTAGTCCACAATTCGCCAGAATCTCTTCTTGCGGAATCAAAGGCAAACGCAGGAACTCAAAGGGCTCGTTGACGACTTCGGGTGCGTTTGTTCCGACAACTTCCATCACATCCATGAGCCTGATGAACAGGTAAATTGTTCAAAGCGACAGCAAATGGGGCACTTGCAATCCGTAGGAGATAAGGATAGTTTCCAACTATCGAACCATCGAGATCACGGTAACTATCAAAATTTATTACATTCAAATAGTTGTAGACTATAACATAGTACATAGCTAGTATTACAGTGCTTCTATTTTGTTACGGCGTCGAGACGGCGGATCGTTGACGTTCGGCACGGACAGTCTAAAAGCTGTTATCGGAATAAAAAAACGTCGATAAACCTTCATGATCGTGCTGGCCAGCTGAACGATGTGCTGCTCATCTATCTTCGTTATATCACCCAATACAATGGCTTTCTAAAGAAATATTGAGAAAAATACAGGGAAACGGACCTGATCGGCCACTTCCATCCCGTGAACACAGCCGAGCCCGCAGACGATGCATGCGCTGCCGACCAGCATCCAATCGCCCATCACTTGTCTAAATTTGGCGAGATAACTACACCGTACAAAAAAAAGGCTTACACTGCCTTCCGTTCCTTGTTCGGTGGAGCGTCCTCGTTTAATTGGCAGTTGAACTCGTTGGTTATCTGGCAGAAAAGTATTATGCCGACAGGTTGATATTAATACCTGCCGTTGATAGGCGAAGGTCATGTCGAGGAACAGCAAAGCGTGGTCCCACACCTCGTTGCAGTGCTTCAACGCCCTGTCCGAGTTGGCTGAATCAGATTTTTTACTAGTATAAAAAAAAACTTACCGAGCACCTTCAAAATGTTCTCCATATATGGGGCTGGCGATTGCGGTATCGTGTAGTCGATGGTGCTCAAGACGCGTAGCTCAGACCTGAAAAAAAACGGTAAAAGGCAAGTGGCAGAAAACAAACTTGAGGATGGCCTGAGGATGATAGGGAGAGCCGACGGCGACGAGCATCTTCGTGACAGCCTCGTTCGAAAGGCTCTAAAACCAGATAATGAAACTTGGATTATATGGTCAGGCATCGCCAATGCTAAAAGAATCCAAACTATACGGCAAACAAAATCGCAAAATCTTCACACATCATCGAACTTGTTCTCCTTTGAAGCGATTTGTATGCAGGAGGCGAGGCGGAGGACGAGTTGCCGGATGATGTTACACTGCGTCTTGTCCCATTGCTGATCCTTCTGCTCCTGCGTCAGCTCCAGTGTGTCGATGAAGTGATGAGCTTGGGCTGTTTGCCGAGACATATACCTGAAAAACGCGAATTAGTAAATCGATTTCAAAGAAAAGCTATTTCCAAAATCGACTCCATATTTTCTTTTGAAAAAAAACAACCCGAGGCAGTGTTGTGATGATTCGGACCACCAATCCCCCGAGAGATGGTTTGGCTTTGCACACACGTGTGCTAGCCGATCCGACAAGGATATTTTTTCTAGATAAAATTCAATAATTCCAGCACGCACTTATCGAAGATCAGCGCAGCCGTAAAGCGCACATCCGGGGGCAGACGTAGACGCGTACACATCGTGAAGATGTAGTCGAGCACCTTCTTGTTCAAGTAGTTGAGCGGCTGGTGACGAATGAAGTACTTGCTCACTGAAATTCAAAGAGTTGCCGCTGTGCAAATATCCATACCTCGGTTTTCTCGGCGCATTTCCTCGAACATATCCTCCACGTACGTCTCATTCAGCTCGAAGGTCCGATCCGTGAAGTCGACGGGGCCCTTGGGCTAAAAAGGATGTTTAGCCATCAAAAAAAAAATCCTCACTTGCTGCTTTTCCGCAACCTCGACTTGCTCGGCCTCGCTCATTTGCGCAGCACGATCCCAGATCAATGGCGCGTAGAGACGGCTGGTAAAAAAGATTCTAAAAATAATAAAAAAAGATATTATGAATGGTTGCGAGCCATGAAAGATAAGTTGCTACGAGCTAGGCATTTTGCAAAGCAATAATTTTGAGTATTTGTGGGCATCTAGCCTGTAAAGTCTTACACAAGAGAGTACAACACAACACAAGATAAGCACTGGAAAAACAGCCTGGATAAAACAAAACAAAAAATAAATAGCTAAACTAAAAGTAAAAAGTAAAGGAAGTAAAGCAGAAAATAAACTTCGGAATCAACTCGCGAGCAAACGCGGTAAAAAAAAAGAAATCAAAATAAAATTCGTACGAAAACAACTGAACGCGGTGCTCCAAAACTCAAATCCGTAATTGTCTTGCTTCGTCTACCGTAGTTTTCATTGAGGGTCTCGTTCTTTTGTCTTTTTCATTTTTTTTCCATTTCATTTCTCCTCGCTCGCTCTTTTACGTGGATAATTTTCTCTTTTTATCAAAATTACAAAACTCCACCGATACTCGGACCTTTCGAACAACTTTATAATACGTTTCCGGTTAGCTTTCCACTCTTGAACCCCCCTTGATCTTTTCTTATTATTTCCTTTTGTGTTTTGCTTTCATTATTAACTAATCTTTTTTATTTAGTGCGAACGAAATCATGGACCAAGCTAAAGCGATTCCGGACACAATTGGCGTCGAGTTGCAGCGGCCCCTCAAGAACGGAAACTACCTTACCGTGTTCCCCAAGACAATCCCAGTGAAGCGCTCCGTGGATCGGCTTGACGAAAAGCTCGCGAAGCAGGAGAAGGATGCCGGAGTCGTGTATGCCAAGGAGTTCGAACAGTTCATCCCGAAGGCGCCAGTCAATGACAGCGCTGAACCGACTTTCTACCAGAAGCTTCGCAAAAACGTGTCGATCAAGATGGATGATGTGCTGAAGGCCACCGACAAGGAGAGTGATGAGGGAATGCAGCGCTATCTGGATCTTCTCCTCGCCTCCGGCAATTTGAAGAAGGCTCGCTTCCACGCCAGCAAGAAAGAATTCAAGCACGACCTCCTCGACGTTGCGCAATGGGCTGGTGAATCCTATTCTTGAGATAACCATTTGATTTTCAGAAGAAAATGAAGAAGACGTGCCCTCGGCTCTGGTTAACTGGAGCATCCGGAGCAAATCGCCGGCTGTGCGCGCTCTCGTTCAGCTCTATCTCGCTGCTGACACGCACCTTCACCCTCTCCAAGTCGCCGCCTATGCTGACTTTCACTCCGTCCAGTAAGCCCATTTTGTGAGTTTTTGTATGAAGTTTAGGGATGCTTTTGTGCTCTCTTCCGCCGTCTTCGGTAATGATGAGCCACTAACCAGGCGACTGCACCAACGATGGATGGAGGGCGAACCGGGGGAAGAAGATACTAAGGAGAAGCCGGCCGACGACCCCGAAGAAGAAGACGTCGATTTGCACAACCAGCTTGAAAAACTGGCGACGAGCTCGACGATCAGCCGCGTTGGCTTGGTGCGATTAATCGGCAATCCCGTACTGTTAATTTTAGGTCAAAATGTATCGTTGTGCCGTGGCATTGCTGGAAAAGAAGAGCAGCCCATTCAGAGCCCCGGAACTGCTCGTTCTCCGCGAAATGTTCGTGTTTGCAGATTTTGATTTATCATTAATTTAGTTTCGCGAAGTCGCTAGTGCTCAAGGATTGGAAACTGGCGCAAGCCGTGGCTATGGACCTATCGGAACGATGCAATGAGCAGTATCTAAAGGTGTTTGCTGATTTTTCCTTTAGAGTTGATTCATAGGATACTCTCTCCTACGTCGTTTCGCTGAGCCAAGCCTTGGAACTCGTTGAGGATGCCGCGGTCGGCGACGAAGAAAAGAAGCTGCCTTTGAAGCACAACGATTTTGCCGAGTTTTTCAAGCATCTGTGTCTCGCCGATAGCGTCTTTGGCCAAGCTCCCGACCTGGATGCGGACTTGGGAGAGGTGACGCTTGTATTCAAACGTCCACGTGGTTTTGCAGGAGGACAAATTGATCAAGATCGACTCTTACTTCCGGTCGCTGCGCATTCTGATTTCTCGCCTGAAATTCGACGAAGAAATCGTCGAGCACTATAAGAAGGTTTTCAACACGGTGGAATCGATTTACAAGGTAGTCCCTCACATGTGCAAGATTTTTGGTTTAGGTCCTAATCGACGCTAGTTCGAACCTCGCCAATTTCCATGTGGAATCTCCCAACATCATCGCCTTCATAAAAACTGGTGTCGGCTTGTTCCCGAGCGCGCTGCAGAATGATCGGCTGAGAGAGGCCGTTGCACTGAATCAAGCAAGACTTTGTCCTTCGCCGGGCCTTATCGGAACATGCATTCCTCGTGGTATTTTTGTTAATACTTGTGTAAAATATTTTCAAGGTGCTGCCTCAAGCCCAGGCGAAAGCGTCGAAAATGTAGAGGACGTTGCAATTGGTCTGATATCGCAAAAGAAGCAAGACACTACAAACGGAAGCTCGGAGATCAAGGATGATGAGGTAAAACCCTTCAACCACTCACTCATGCCCTTAGGTTGTGGCCTTGAGCCCAAGCCAGCAGTCGTCGCTTTCCCAGGTTGATGTGCCGGTTATCGAAGTTCGCTTGACGCCGAGAGAGGGATCGCCTGATCTGGAGACGGACGCTGCGCCGAAGCTACGTAAGACATTGCCGTTTTTCTGGTACATGCGTTTTTAGTTGATGGCGGCGCTGATTTTGAGGCCGGATTTGGTGGCAAAGAAGTCGTCTCCGGCGTTGCTTCGGCCCAGGACGTCAACTCCAACAGTTTCACCAAGGGCTTTGCTGCCGCTGGCCCCGCCGGCGATAACTCCACTCGGGGTAGCAGCTTCTTCCCTCGAGGATCGTACCGTGCTGCTTCGCAAGAACAAGTTCGTCCAGCGCGGTTCGAAGGTGGCATGCAGCGCCGAGGCGGTACGCGAGGCGGAAGGGGCATGATGGGTGGCCGCGGAAGCTTCGTTCGGGTGCGTTTATTGTTCATATTGATTATTTATTAGGAATCAGCTTAATCTGTGCCAATCAGACTCATTTTGCAAAGGGCTGACGGGTGATCTAAAAAGTTTTCGGGCGATCGGCATGGTTCTGAATCTTTCTTCACAGACTCGTTTTTTTCAGCAATAAGCAGCTCAACGCGACTGACATCGGACCGGTCTCTCGAAGCACGATTTTCCATTGATTTTTATTGCATTTGCTTTCGTTTGCATTTAGTAAATTATGTCCTGGTCTGTGTTGAAATACGTGAATGAAGTGTTGTAAATTTGTCTTGAACAGCGATTGTTTTGGCTTGGTCGAATGGGATCGACGGCTTCATACGATTCGCCCATCTGTTGTGACCGCGTTTTGCATATCGAAATTGATACGCATCCCTCTGTCGGAATTCGGGAAATACCATGTTTTGGTTACGACTTTGTGGGTTGAAAAGCGCGGATTTCAGCCATGTTGCCCACTTTTTCTACTCATCCCTCCCGTAGCCCCCAGTGAAGCCTCTCTTCCTGGGTTCCCGCGGGCCAAATTCTTCATCTACTCGTTTTCCAAAAATTTTCGTTCGACGATGATTGCGCAGGCAGTTCCAGGTGGGAACCCTGCCGGGCTGGGTACGCGAATTTGACAACTTTATCTAGGCTCGTCACTCGTCTACAGGGGCGTAGCCAGAAAAAAATTTCGGGGGGGGCCCCGAAAAAATTTTTTCGAAAAACTCAAAAAATTAACCAGAAAACGGCGCCGCAGGCGAAAAATTTTGGAAAAATGGCTATATAGCTCTACAAATAGCAGTAAAAACGCGAAAAAATAGCGCCGCAGGCAGCAAAATTTTTGAGAAAATAAAAATCATAAGGGTCCCCCCTTAGGAAATTTTCGGGCCCCGGCCGATTTCGGGGGGGGCCCCGGGCCCAGGGGGCCCACCTTACGCTACGTCCCTGCTCGTCTAAGAAGTTTCCCCTTTGCTCTAAAAGCGCGTCCTTGTTGCAGGTAAGCAAGTGGAGTCGAACGTGCTGAAGCTGCTCTACCGGCAGCATCTGCAGAACCCGAAAGCAGCCACCGGGTCGCCGGCTCAGCCGCCAGCACCCCCAAAGGCCGGCCAGCCGCCCCAGAAGATCAAGAAGAAGACGCTGTAGGGGAGGGAGGGGGGGGGGCAGGAGAATCTTTTTTAGAGAATGCTAATTAACTACCCATTTTTTTTCAGCGAAGAATGGCGTGACGAGCAGCGGAAGAAAATGAAAGAGCGCGGCATCCCGTGCATCTCCGAGGATCCCGAGATGCTCAAGGTAGTTTTAACGCCAGATTTTGGAAATTATTACTATTTCAGTCGGAATTCGAGTTACCATCGGCCCCGATCCGGCCCGCCGTCGTCAAAGAGCGGACCCGGGAGTTGCAGTGGAAGAAGCCGAGCACCGTCACCACCGACACGGCTACCAGTCCGTTTTCAGCGGTTTTTTAAATCGTGAAAAGCTATAGTTTTTAACTTTTTAATTCGGTAATTTATTAGTTATCGAATAAAGATTAGACCGTTTTGAAAATTGCGGCAGCCGAGAATCGATCTTTATGTGATATTGAGTCAGGTTTTCATAATTTTTCAGCCGGGACGACGCGCAGCCCTACGGGAATCTCGCCCGGATTGATGGCCGGCGGCCCTCGAACACCGCATGCATTTACGGTATAGTTTTTCAATGACATCGATTTACTGCTCTTTTTAGCCACCACCAGTAAAAGCATTGCCGGTGGTCCCTGCGGCAGCGATCGTCGAAAAGCACGAGAAACATGAGAAGCACGAGAAGCCGGAAAAGGAGCGCAAATCCGACCCGTCTGCCGATAAATCGATGTATTTCCGAAGTTCTTAACTGATTCTATCATTTTCCAGCTCGACATCCCCGGATCCGCAGGGTGAACGGCGGAAGAAGAAAAAGAAGAAAGAAAAGCTGGTGGTGGATGAAGCCGGGAAAGCACCACCACAGCACCATCCAGAAGCAGTCGTCACCGTGGTTGCCGCACAGGTAAATTGGCTCATTTTTGATAACATTGTGTACTTTAGCTAAGGGTTGAGATTCTAGAGAAAATATACCTTTTCCAGGCCCTCCCCCGAGTCCCGTCCACCCATACGGCCCCCGTTCAGCCGGCGGCTGCCGTCGACGCGAGCGTGAAGAGCTACAAGTCGGAGAGGCGCGAGAAGAAGGAAAAGGAGAAAGAGAGGGAGAAGGAGAAAGAGAAGGAAAAAGAAAAAGAGAAAGAGGTCGAGAAGCTCCCATCCACCATCACGCCGCCCATCATGCCGCTGATAGTGGTCGAGGTGGGTGCTAGACGAGCAGAAATAATGCGAAAGAACTAATTTATAAAAACTAAATTTCTAGGAAAAGAAAGCTGAAGAGAAGAAAGAGGAAGGTCCCGCCGCCGACGCCTCCCAATCGCTCAGGGTACGGTGGTTTCGGGCAATTATAATTTTTAAAGCAATCAATCTGGACGAAACATCTTGGAGACATTTTTTTAAATCGTTTTTGCAGCGCGACAAGAAGAAAAAGAAGAAGGTGGCCGTGCAGGACCCGTCGGAGAAAGCGGAAAAGGAACGGATGCTGGAGGCTATGCCGGATGTGGGTGTTTTTGCAGGCGATAGGCAACCTTTCAAAATCAATCGATTTATTTGAAGGACCCTTGAAGCAGCGCTGAATTTAATTCATTTTCAGGAGCCAGTGCAAGCCGCACCGATCCTTTCGCCGGCGGAGATGCTCAAGGACAAAGACAAGCTCGCCCAGGCCGAACAGGCGTTCGAGAATGATGTCACTGTAAGGCTCTGGGCCCGCAAATTCAGAGTTTTCTATCTTTGAAGCCCGGAGCCGCCGCCACCGCCCTCGAGGTGCTCAAGGAGGCCAAAGAGCGAAAGGTAGCTTTCAAGCAGTCTGAGCAATACCTTCAATCTTATAATTTCTAGTCCCTGGAGCGCCTGATGAACCCGCACGAGAATGACCTGCTCGCCAAGTTTTTCGCCGGCATGCTCGCCTACAATGAAAAGGTAAAATTTGCTCAATAAGTAATTCTCGCAAAAAGGTGTGTGGTAGGATGCTCTTATTTAGATCATGGCACTGCTGGGGAAAGCGCTCGACGGCATCTTTGAAGACACCCACCGAGCCTACAAGACGAAACCCCGCGACCTGCCCGACGCATGCTTCTTCCTCAACAAGGAAATGGTTCGTGTTTGCCGTGATTTTTTGTAAATAAAACTTTTCCAGGCTAAAAAAGCCATCTTCGACGCGCTGTTCGCCCACCCGGAGTACTTGCCGGACTCGTGGAAGACCAAGTTTCAGCGTGAGTTTGCCACTGACTTTTGATCTATCTAAAGGGGACGGCTGCAGCAGTGATTTTTGAAAACGGATAAACCTAAGAAAAGATAGCTAAAAGAAATCAGAAAGGAAAAGAAAGGTAGGTTCTTTCGGCGTTTTCGGAAATTTTTTTTCTAGCAGTATGGAAATTTCTAGTAACTTTATAGTAAGTGAGTTAGTTGTGTGTTTAGTAAAATATAGCTATATTTAAACTAACAAATCATTTAAAATTTTTTTTTAAATGTTTGAAAAGAGGAATTTTGGGCGAAAAATCTATTTTTGATCGTTTTCGATAAAAATTTGTATCGTTTTCACCTCTGGGAATAGTAGAAACCGTTTAGAAGCAATTCGGCTATTTAATTCGATCGTAAGAAAAAAGTTGTCCCCCCCGATAATGGAAAAGAACCCGTGGAAATTTTCGAAAGCCGTCACCATCGATTCTTACGGCAGCAATGACTAACTTCCAGTGTGGCGTGAGGAGGCAAACCGCGAGCATTACGGCATCCACTGGTGGCAGGTGCTGTTCTGCTACCCCAAGCAACGCTCCTTCGACGACTCGGCCGTCCGCGAAGATGGCACGTTCACGCCGGCCGCCCGCAATCTCCTCATCGCCCTCTTCATCGGGCCCAGCGACCAGAAGACGTTCGAGGAGACGTCGCGTGAACATGCCGCCCGTGGCATCTACTTTACCCCCGCCCTCGCCAACGCCGCCCTCTGCACCAAGGACGGCTGCAAGGTGGGGAGAAAACGAGCCGGAAATTGAAGAGCATTTCAGGATTCGAAAGACGGCTGCAAGTGCAAGGCAAAATAGAGCAGCCGAAGCCTAACTTATAAGGTGTGCCTGGCTTACGGTATTCAGGATATTTTCATGTTATTTTATATTTTCGCGCTACCTAGTACTGTTTTTCAGGAGCCACCGCAGCTCTTGAAGATGGACGTTATTCTCCGAGCAACCAACACGCCTTCAGCTAAACAAAAACCATTATCACCCCACCCCGCTCATCGCCCCGAACGATTTTACCCGACCCTCCTCCCATTACTCGCCCCAAAATTGTGTGCCAACAAATGTTAATAATTGTATAAATGACGTTAGACCCGTTATTCATAGAGCCGAAAACAAATGACGACAACGTATCACAACAAATAACAATACAAACCACAACAATTCATGCAGAATCAATAACGGTAATTATTATTATTATGTTTTGAGGCGTATGTAGCAAATCGTCTCGTCCGGCGACGTCAACATCACCAAAATCATCGAGTACTTGGCGGCCGTCCGGATCAGTTGTTCTATCTGGAAACCGAAGAATAGAATAAAAATTTGCCAGTTTTTACGTTTAGGAATAGCATAAAACGTTTAGAAGCAATTTCGCGATTTGTATTTGAAAAATAGGTCCTAAGAAAAAAGTCGGTTCCCCCTAATAATACAAAGAACCGAATTTCGATTTCAAGAAACCCCAAACCTGCGCATTGATGGCCCGCTTTAGCTTCGCGGAATTATCGGGCAGCTGGCCGTCTTCCAATTCCTCTTGCTCTTCGTCGTTTGGATCATCGGGCAACACGACGTCCCCATTAAAATTCAGCTCGACGACGCACAGCGCGTACTCCAGCATGTCCATACATACCTAAAAATAACAATTTTAATAGATAAAAATAATGCGCAGTACCTCTTCGATGTAATCCTGTTGATCGGGAAACTCGGAGGGGAGTCGTCGTATAATTCTGGAAATTGTTTTTATTCCCCCACTAACCCCCTTTTTTTTTTTTTTTGGGGTGTTGGGGTTGCCCTTTTCTTTTTTATTTTAAAAAAAACACCTTTTTTTTTTTTTTTTTATTTTTTTTTTTTATAAATTTTTTTTTTTTTTTTTTTTTTTTTTTTTTCCATTAAACCCTCTTATAAATTTATTTTAAAATCCCCACTTGTTTTAATTAAAAAATATTTTTAATAAGTTTAAAAGGACATCAAAAACTAACTAAAAACACTAAAACACCAAACATTATAAAAATAGATTGTTTATTATTGGCCACAGGTAGTTATAGATGGAAAAAGTCCCCCAAAAAACCCCCCCCCCCCCGCAAAAACAGCCCAGAACCGACAAAACTCACAATTCCCCCACGGGCACTTTTGCTTTCTTGATGGCCTCCATTCCAAACATCAGCTTCTTCCCCTTGGAGCCCTTCAGATATTCGTCGATTGTGCGCAGCGTCGTCGCACTTTCAGATCGTACAGCTTTTCTAAAACCAAATAAAAATAATAACGTTACAGCTCACTTCCAATCGAACGTCGCCCCTTCAGATGTGGCGGCTGGGTGCTTGGCCAGACAGAGGATACATTCAGAAGGGGGAGACACCTGAAAATTTTATTTTTTGGGGGGTGTTTTGGGGGGGGGGGGAAAAAAATTTTGGGGGGGGGGGGGGGGAAAAATTTTTTTTTTTTTGCAAAATGATTTTGTGAAAATAATAGAAAAAAAATCCAAAATCCGCATTTTGTGCGAATTACCTGGCATTGACATCCCTCAATGATACAATCCAGTCCCAGCCGTTGCCCACACGCACAATGCGCCACCCTGAAAATGAAGATGGGTCCTTTCGCATTATCGGGGGGGGGGGGCTACTTCTCCTTTGCAATTTTCTTAGGTGTGAATTCTTCAAACTATGTTTTACCATCCATAAGCTTTATGACTTCACAAATTTTTGATTAAAAGGTACAAAAAAGACAGAATTTTCGATCAAAATTGCGACTTTTGAAATTTTTAGATAACTTTTCTAATTGAAGTGAAGTTTTATTTTACCAGCAACCCAATTGAAATACTTCCCGTTAAGTCACTTGGTATTCCTAGCCCTATACACTTGAAAAGTAAAAATACTAATAAAAATGGATAAATCCGCGACGTTCCGGGCAAATAATTTTGTACTCACATCGTCTTGGGCATCAATCTTATCCGCTTGTTTACCGGCTCCGCACCACTTTCCTGCGATTCCCGCTCTTCCTCCTCTTCGGCCTCCAATTCGTCGCGCTAAACCAGAAGCGTCCCAAACTATTTAAAAAAATTACAATCTGCTGACGATGCTTTTTGATGTACGCCTCGTAGTCCCAGCCAAAGAGGCAACTCCCGAAGACCAATCTAAACAGCAAAAATCTATTTCAAAATGCGATCCAACCCCTTTTCCACCTTCAGCTTTGCCAGCTTCATCGCCGCCCAGCTGTCCTCGACGGAACAGTGGCCCTTGCCGTCCTAAAAAAGAATTTGCATTTTTAAAAATTTTCTGGACCTGAATACTCTCATCACAAAACAAATCGGAGAGGTTCTTCAGCGATGTGCGCATCTTCGTGCTGCCCGACAGGTTGAAGCGGCGCCCAATGTCGAGAATGTAGCTGAAAAAAATTAATATCTTTCAAAAAAACCAAACGCACGGATGGCTCATTTGCAGCGCCTTCAGATCAAATTCCAAGGAATGGCCGACGAGGATTGCATCTGGAGGAAGAACGGCCGATAACGCTTTCTAAAAAAAAATAAAACTAGATTTCCACCAGAAAAACATTAAAATTCTTTTGAAGTTTAAAAAAATCGGCCATTTTGTCGAAAAATCGATATTTTTCGACTTTCCCGACGACTTTACCTGAACATCCTCCAAGGTTACGGTAACGCCCTCCAGCATCTCCGGCGTGACGCCGCTGAATTTCGTCAGATAATCCTAAATTAAAAATGTATCAAAATTCAGAAAACGCTTACGATAATATCGCGAGGGGGCTTGACCAACGTGTCGAAGACCACGGACCCGTCTTCGCGTATCTAAATAAAATAGAGGATACAAGTTCAAGCTTCCGCAACGCACCAAAGAAATCCGCGTCAACTCGTGCATTCTGCTCGTCGTGATGCACATCTCACAATCGAGGGAGAACATCGGGGATTGGTTGGTGATCGGCGCGTAGCTAAATCAGTTTAAAAAATATAGATAAATTAAATTTACAGCTCTTTCGTGGGGATGATCGTATCGGATGGGAATGGGTACTCGAAATCGATCAATTCCGTCGAAGAGAGCACCAACTCTGATTTCAGGCAAAATTCTCTTGGGTCCAGGTTGACGGCGTCCATTTTCTGAGAAACAACAGTAACCAGGAAAAGCAAAATTCCATTACCGCCAATTTCTCCTTGATCTGTTCTTGTAATGACACGGGGACATGTAGCAGATTATTGAAGAAATCTTCGCGATCGTAAAGCTAGAAACATATAATAATAACGAAAAAAACCCCGGATTACCTCCTCGTGCGCCTTGATATGCTGCCGTTCAAAGAATTTATCGAGAAACTCGTAGGAGGCCTTCTAAATAGGCATTTAGCGATTTGTATAGCACGTACCACAAACTCCCCGGGGCAATCGACGCGAATCAGGACGGTCTGCGTGACGCGCTGGGGCTTCGGGGCTATGTGGCACCATCGTGGCCTCTTCACGGCCGGCCCAATCGTAAAGTACTGGATGAGATCGCTGATTTCTAAAAAAATAAGAATTGAAAGTGTCGAAAACACCGAACCAGTATGCGAAATGTATGTTCCGCCCAGCTTCTCCATCGTGAAGCGCAGTTTCGGCTGATTGAGCAGCTTCTCCATTCTCGCCTCTTTTAGCTTCTGCTTTACTTCTTTCGGGTCGGGGAAAATACCGTCCGGGGGCTCGTAGCCGGGCCTAAAGCGGGTTAATTGCAAATGCAGGGAAGATTCTACCTCCCCTCCCTCAGATAGAGCTCGGCGATGTCTTTGCGCTGCTGGTTGATGGCTCGCTGGGTGTTCAAGGACATCCGCGGCTAAAACAGATATTTTTCATTTATTTACAAACGTACTCAAGATTGTTTAAAAAAATTAGATTTGTTATTTTCATCGCCTAATTTCGGGGCACACTACGAATGGCTTCAATTTACACGTGGACACTGAGGGTTCTTTGCAACAGGTTGAACCGGGCATTCCGAAGCCGAAAATTTCTTACTTTCTAAACTTTTCCATTCAAGTTTTGTAAGAATTCGCTTTATAAAAGTGTTGTATTAGGCTTTTTTTGTATCTTACTGCTGGTGCAAAGCTAACCATGCCGCTCAAATTTCCTTATTTTTGCTACCCAAACTTCGTCAAAATATCTACTTTCAGCTCATCTACTTCTTCGACCCGATGGGGCTTCCGTGGTACAGTTGGCGTCATCACGTCGTGACGGTCGTCGGCGTCGTTTCGGTGACGGCGGTCGCGTACGGCACTTTTCGAGTCGCCCGCTTCTTGAATCGGATGATGAACGCACAACCATATGGGCAACACCAAGAAATAGAGGATTTTCTGGCGCATAAGCGGCAACAACAAGCGAATGCGGCCCGACAGCAACAATGAGGCCGCTTTTCGGCTAATGCTGACACGATACGAGTGCTGAAGAACCAATTACGCCGCCCGGCTGGGCCAATGAAAGGCATTTTGTAGCTTTCCACGCTCTCCGCTGTAATATGATACCTGTAATTGCTCCTAGTTTCTATTTTTAGTGTAGTGAACAATTGTCAGTGTTTTTACGCTTCAAGAAAACGTCTCTCCGTTATCCGTTGTAATTTTCTCGTTGTTTTTAGATTACGGGTGCTTTCGATATAGAGTAAATTCTAGACTTGTCTCATCTGAAGGCTTCTCAAACGACTTGCGACATGTCGAAGGGTGGCGAGGAAGAGCTGGAGAAGCAGTATCACGTCTACAAACAACAATTCGAGGAGTGGCGAGAGAAGAATAAGTAAGCTTTTGTTTTGAAGACCTTGGAAATCAACGATGTTTTTGTAATGTCAAAGAATTGTATTTTTAGAAGCTCGCAGGGCACGGATGCGTATAACGCCTATGTGAAACAATTCGAGGACTGGGAACGCGATGTGGAAAAGCGACGAAAATTGCTGAGGGAGAAGGTACAGAATTTGAGGTGAATCTTAGAAAATGTTTAGGCGGAACCGAGCCCAGTGAAGCAAGAGAGCGAAGCGGAACGGAGAGACCGCGATCGGTTGCGGAGAGAAGCGGAAGAACGGGAGAGACGGATAAGAGAAGGTGAGAGGAATTTTTTGGCTTGCCGAGTTATTAGATACGATGTTTTTCCAACATCAACATTTTCAGAACAAGTACGCGCCGAAAGAATCGCTGCCGAGCAGAAAGCGGCCGCCGAAGCAGCTGCGTATGCGCAATCTCAGCAGGTATTCGCGTTCTTTCATATTTAATCGTTCTTAGGCATACCTAGCTCATCACCAAGCGGGGCTCGAGCAGGACCGTCTCGGTCGAGGCCAGGTGCACGTCCAAGCCTCCGCCGCCGTCCATTACAGCGCAACAGGTGAATTCTCGCCAGCCGGCCTTGCATCAAAATTTCGCTGTTTTCAGCCCAAGCATCAACTATGGCCGTGGTGGACGAGGTGAACGCGCAGAAGGTGCTGCAGCAAATGGCCGAAGTTGTGATGGGCGGACAGCAACCGCAAGCGCAGGAGAAGACACCCGTCTATCAACAGCAGCCGCCTCAACAGCAAGCCCAAGCAACCCCGCCACAACTATGGGGCGGATCGAAGCCTGTGTACGATGTTCGGGTATGTTTTTGTTTTCTGTTTTTATGAAAGGGATATTGCTTAGGATCCAATGTTTGCGAAATGGGGTATGCGCGCGGCCCCGGCTCATCAGCCTCCGCCGCTCCCTCCGGCGCCGATAATGCCGATGCCTTATTGGTTGAGCATCGAAGAGATGAAGGTATAGATTTTCAACGAACGAATCGGGTCTAAAAACTGATTGTATCCCTTTTTATGATCGGAGTGGGATTTCGGTGCGTGATTTCCTGCGCAGAATTTTTTGCTAATTTCGAATCAGTTTTTAAAGGTTGCGGAAACCTCTGGTTGAAAAGCTAAACGTAGTTACAACTACAAAATTTAAAAAATAGCGATCTGTGGTCATCTTTTAGAAATTTCGAGTTACTGGTGCGTGAGGTCGAAAGATCACTTTTTTTACTTCGGGAAATCGCATACTTTTTCCAAAGTATTTCACGGAATTTTTAGGAGAATTTGAAGGAAGGAATTATCGGGATTTTCGGTATTATCAGGTTGGATAATAAGTTCTGTCACAATTTTTTGGAATCGTTTGTTAACGCTGCAGACGTACCCGAATTGATAGTTTGGTATATGGTTTGATAGGTCTCATCGAGCTCTATTTAGGGTAGACCCTCCTAGCACCCAAAACTGGAGGGACGCCGAGATGGAGCTACAAGAAGTTTTCCGAAAAATCATGCAAAACCTATTTTGCAAGTTATCTCTGCATAGAGCAAAGCTCTGCAAAGTATCACATGCAAATTGCTCTATGCAGAGATAACTTGCAAAATCCGTTTTGTATGATTTTGCGAAAAACTTCTCCGGCCTGTATCTCGAAACCCATCAGTTTTTGTGTCAGTTGATGGTCTCCCCAGGATAGAGAGCTGCGAGACCTATCGAACCATGGCTCAAACTCCAACATTGGCAACATCTGTGATTTGAACGAGCTATTTCAAAAAATTGTGACAGAACTTATTATCCAACCTGATAAAAGCACACCAAATTTTTAACCAAAGTTTCTGGCAACTTTCGAAATCGGATTCGGAATCAGCGAAAAATTCTACACCATGTCTGCTAACTCACGTACCGAAATCAATTCCACTGCGATCACAAAAAGGTTACAGCGAGCCCTTCGAACACCGCAAAAAGAAGAGAGCTTGACGCTGTATATTTCATTTTACAGTCTCGAAAACTGATGATGGCACCGATGGGCCCGTCTCCGATGGTACCGCCGTTCATGTGAGGCTAAAAAAATTCCGCGTTTCCATTTGTATTGTGATCTCATTTCTGTTCCAATTACCCAATTGTCTTTTCCTATGTTGTTGTATTTTGAAGGGCGTCTTGCCTCAAAACGCCCTAGGTTACGGGAAAATGCTTAAATAAAGCTAACAAGCCTTCACAAAAAGTCTTTATTCACATGGACACGGTTATAAAAGCGATTAATTTGCGGGTATTTCTTTCGTAATCACACTTTGGATACAATTGATTGACTGCGAGTGACTAGTAGTAGTAGTAGTAAATGGGGAATTGTCTGTCGCTGGGCCTTCACTTCTCCGCCGTTTTGCCCAACTCCTTCGCCTCGGCGATGAACGCGTTGACGGCCGCCTCCGTGTAGCGCCCCGGGTGTTTCGCCTATAATTGGGGGATATTTTGAATTGAATGTTCGCGGCATAGCTTATCACGAAAGCTCAAGTGGTCGCGCTCCATTTCCAGATAAAAGCTCATGCTCCTACCTGGCAATAATCCAAGACGGCGGCCGTGATGAATACGTACTGGAACTCGGTCTGGACGGCGTGAGCACGCTGACCGCGCAACTTCTTGTACAGCTCGGGAAGCTGGAATGGCTTACTTTTTTCATCGTGTCTAAATGATTTGTTTCGTTGTGAGTGAGTGAGTGAGGTTAAGGAGTGATAAGCTGTTTCGGTCTTCGCAAAGCTAAATTCCTGACATCGGCCGGCTTTCTGCCCGAGTACAGCTGCGCGAGAAGCCATTCGACGAGGATGAACGTCCCGGTCCGGCCGACCCCCGATGAGCAGTGCATCAGCGTGTTGCCCTTGTTCAGCTTGTCGCCCTGAAAAAGCTCTTGTTTGGGCTACTGCTTTTTCTTTTCGCTAACTGTGCGACTAGCTCTCCTCGGGAAAAATGCCATCAAAAACCGACGCGATCGAGCAGTCGAATCAAGCGCAGCACGCGAGTCGTCTTCAGAGGCACCAGGGGCGCCTCCTTCTTTTGTTCCTTAGCAGCCGGATCTGGAATTGCGACAAGTTCAATCTCGAGTCGGAAGGTTCAAAAACCGGTTCTTTCGCATTATCGGGGGCAGGGGGAGAAAATTTTTTTTGTTTTAATCCAATACCTAGAAACTATAAGAAGTAGTCTAATAATGTTTTTAGTAAATTAAAACTATATTTTAACTAGAAAAACCATCTAAAAACTCCGCCCATTTTTTCAAAAAGGGAATTTTTGTCAAAAAAATCAATATTTTGTATTTTTCACCAAAATCTTGTGAAGTTTTTTACGTTCAGGGATAGTAAAAACAGTTTAGAAAAATTTTCCCTGCTCATATTAAAAAGAGGTTCCTAAGAAAGAAAAAAATTTGTCTGCCCCACCGATAATGCGGAAAAACCCAAAAGCCATTAAAAATCTTGGTTAAAAAGAATGCAGCAAGGTTTTTCGCGTTCAGTAAAGACTTATGACTGCGCTAAACTACGCGAACTTATGCGAATTTACGTTCAAAGTAAGAACTCTCACCATACTGGACGATCCGTAGCATTCGGCTGTTCGAACATCCATCCGGCAACAATTCGATGGTGAGCGTGACGAAACTCTCCTCCGTCTCCACCTTCTTGTTGTTCACAAAGAAACGGCCGTGGTTTTGGAATTGGCCGGCGGCGGCTGGCCAGTAGTTGCTGCCCTAGAAGGGCGATTTCTGGGATCGAACTGGTAGATTACCTTCACTTTGCCATCCTCCATGTTGGCCGATAGTTGGCAGACGGTGACAATCTCGTACTCCCACACCATGCGCCAGAAATCGACGATGCTCGCGTCGACGGGGGATTGTGTGGCAATGTAGACGGTCGGGTGGTTTTCCAGCTAAACAAAGTTGCTAAAATGTTGGGTTCTGGACTGTTAGCGGGCGGGGGGAGCAAATTTTTACCTGCCACTCTAGGCGATAACAAAATATAAACCATTTCTATAGCATTTTTTCAAAATATTTTGATACAAAAACGCCGAAAATCGCTTAAAAATTTCGAAAATTTGTTTTGTTACATATTTTTGAAAAAATTACCGAAAAGGTGAACATACTTGAATTTTCAAAAAATTTAAAGGGTTTTTTGTAACTTCTAGGTGATCAAAAACTGCTAAAAACACCAAAAATACACTATTTGTTATTAACAGGGATTTATAGACGGCAAAACGGTCCAGTGCCCTTTAACCTAATGACGAAAACACCATACCCTGCACCAATTCGCGTGGATGTAGTCGCCCTCGCCGGGCACCTCGGGCGTCAGCTTGACGCGCGTTTCATCGAGACACGTCAGCTCTGGGTAGCGATTCTTGGTCGGGTTGGCGGCAAAGGCGGTGGCGGCCTGGTTGGGCGATTGGTAGCCCTTCACGTCGAGGAACTGCTTCTTCAGGCCGCCCACGCCTGAAAAGGGGAGATATTTGTGAATTTATGGAAACAAATTACCTAGCGTCAGCGTAGCCTGCACCCATGCGTCAACACCGGCGAGGATCGGGTCACTGGTGGTGGGCGGTGGGACGATGACGATTGGGCCCTTTGTCGCCGCGTCTCCTGGCGACTCTGAAAAAGGCTATAAGTAACGGTCCTATAACAAAATCAAGCGGCTATAACGACGGGCCTTATACACAGTTTTTAAATATAAAAAAACGCATAAAAACATAACATTTTCCGAAAAACCAAAAACCAGGCCTTACCAAAAACGCACTTCTGGGGGGTGCGGGCCCTCTCCCCCACGGCCGTTCAGAGCGTGCACGAGCTTTAAAAGCTATAGCAAACGCTTCCAACACTTCATGATATAAAAGTTTTTTTACGAAATTGTGGGGAATTTTTTGCTTTATCGAACTAGAGCGGCGATTTTCGAAATATGACCCAGGGGAAAAGTTATCAGCAAAAAAGGAGAAAATCCTTAACATTTCAATGGCTGGTTTCTTAACGCTATAGAAAACTCGGTCAGCCGCGATTCCTCTAAGTTTTTTATACTAAAATGTGCAGAATTTTTTTCTCTAGCGAACTAGAGCGGCGATTTTCAAAATACGCTCAGGGGGGAAAGTTATGAGCTAAAGAAGAGCGGCGCTCTTAACATTTTTGGGGAGTGGGGCAGCCCCTCTCATGCGCGCCTTCCCATACATCTGAACCGCCGTGCCCCGCGGATAGTGGGTTAACCTCCCAGGCGGGCCCCCCACACCCCCCGGGTTCGGTTCCTCTCCGGCGCGAACTCCCCCATTTTGGTAATCTTTGTTTTGCTTTTTGCTCCAATGTATCACTGTTCGTCTACTGTAACACAAAATTAAATCATACTCGCGAAAAAGCCCCAGAAAATAGCAAAAAGCGGCCAGAACGCGTTTTAAAGAAGTGCATCCAAAAACAGTTGCAATTTCGCTCCATAATCAGGTTTCACGTTGCTATTACAATTTTTTTTGGCTGAGTAACGATAATAAGTACGCTCTGATGCGTTTATTTGGCAAAATTGGGCTACAGCAACGAAGCTCCTGCTCCAAGCGTCTAAGTGCCCGACTCTCTTAGCTATTTAGTTAATAGTAGGGTCATAATGCAGAAGTTTTTTGATTAATACTACATGCAATTGATATAGCTACCTAGAAAACCGCCATACAAGGCTCAAATCCTTCCGGCTGAGGTGCTAGCATCGAAATATTATGATCGCCATCGGACAAGGGTTTATCTTTTCCAGAACTTCCGTTATTAATTCAAAAGCCTGTATCGTGACTCCACCCAACATTTTAGCGAGATTTGATCGTATTTTGATAACAACAGGGTGAAAAACTAGCCATAAACTAGCTGGGTTGAAAATTTCGGGAACTTTAGGCTTCAAAATCTCCTTATTTTGGTGAGAACTCTCGTCGCGACCCACCCAGTTCGATAGAGAATTTTTTTCTCTACCAAGTTCCCACGCCTCCCGAAGATTCGAAATAGTATACAAAAAGTTATTAGAAGAAAACGTAGATTTTCTGAGTTTTTAAGATGGGCGGCGCCGCCCAACAGAGCCCGGGGGGCAATAGGCGCGCCCCGTACTAAAGTGCCCTTTGGCGAGCCGTGAAATGTTTCAAATACGTTCAGTAACTTCCTACGAATCAAAAATACTGAAAAAATTAAAAACGTTTTATATTAACACGTATACGTGCTACGCGTAGGCGAGAAAACAAAAAGGAGTCCCCCTGCTAACAGCCCAGCGCCGCCCGGAGCCCAACTGCCAACTTTTGTATCTTGGCTCCACCTTGTGCTACAGAGCTGTAAAGCATACCAAAATGCGCGTCTTGACCTGGCGAGTGTTTTGCTATACTTTACGCCCCTGCAGGACAAAGCGGAACCGAGATTAAGAAGATGGTGCCGGCTGGGCGGGGAAAACTGCACCAAACCCCGCTAAACGATGCCGAAAAAGCATAGTCCGCGCAACTCCAGAAAGAAAAACCGAAGTACCTGATTCTTTGGAGAGCAGCTGCGGTGCGCCATGGCTTGGGTTTTTGCCTTTGCGCTTTGCGGCGCGCTTCGTTTCGCCCTTCTTGCCAGGTGTCGCCGGGCCCTGATCGTCGGGGTCCTCTTCCCTGGAAAAGGAGTTTCAAGCTTTTCATTTAGCGTCATTTTTCGATACAAATTTAAATGAAATGATTCGTGATCTACAGATCAGGGGCTACATTTTGGCACATTTTACAGCTCTATGGGTCGGTTGGGAGCCGAGAAAATTTCCTTTATGCCAACTTACCTAGTTTTTTAACTTTTAAAATATCGTTTAAAAGATTTCTAGCAATTTTCGACCTAGGGAAATAGGTTTCTATACGTTATCGAGCATGGAGAACCGTTTAAGACACTCGGCGCATTAATAGAATACCTGGTGGGGGCGTCTTGGCTGGCTTTGGCTCGGCTGGTCTTCGCTTTCTTCGGTGGCATTGTGGAAGGTGGATGGGCCCAGCTGGAAGGAGGACGGGGTGGAGAGCGGGTGAAGCTGTTGACCTAATGGGTAGACAGTGCCCGATCCGCTTCATATCCCTTCCTCCGCATGCTAATTACGGAATTCCGGTATTCGAAGATTTTTTTGGCTCTTGTCTATTCGAATTTCCGTGGCTTTCAAATACGGTGCAATTTTATCGGAGTCCGCTTTTTGAGGGGAATTCCAGCGAATTCTAGACATAATGCCGACATCCATAATATCGACGGCCGAAATACCGACACCCTCAACCACGACAAGCCATAATCCCGACGTCGAAAAACCGACACCCAAAATCCCGAAATGATCAGCTTGTCGGGATTTTCGCTGTCGGGATTTTCGACCTCGGTCTTTTGGCTTTCGGCATTTTAGCTGTCGGGATTATGGCTTTCGGTATTTTCGGGATTATGGACTGTCGTTACTTGACCTGTCGGGATTTTGGATTTCAGATGTGGGAGTGTCGGTATTTGGTCTATCGGGATTTTAGCTTTCGAGATTTTGGCCTGTCGGGATTTTAGCTTTGGGGATTTTAACTGTCGAGATTTTGATCTATCGGGATTATTTGCGATATTGGACTGGTTGGGCAGATCTTTTTTTACGATTTTTCTCAATCTCAACCGTTCCCCTGTTTTTCTTCACCTATTCATAAACTTCCGGTGTTTCTGCAGTGACCGGAAATGCTTAGGGGGGGAAAGCCGCAGGGGGCGGGCAATGTCACGATTTTTGCGTTATTTATCACAACTTTCCGCGGTGCACCTCCGGACATGAGAGAGCGGGATGGGACGGGCGTATTTTAGGGCACTAAAATCGGGGTGACTTCGGCGATCAGAAAGGGGGAGGAGGAGGGCCTGAAAATGGGCACTCGGAAAGGTGATAAGCGGAAGGGGGGAAAGACGCGTAGTCCTTCTCAAAAAAGGCTATTCGCATCACCCAGCCTTTTTGGACCCGTCGATTCCGGGAGGGTGCCTTGTGATTTTGGAGCGATCGTCGAAAGATTCTCGGGGTTAAATCGGAAGATTCCCCCATCTGGAGTTCCTTATCATTTGAGCTGTATTTTTTCCAAATTCAAAGCTTTTTAATTTTTTGGAATAGGTTCCAGAAAGGCACATTATTTTCACAACATATTTCCATTTCCCGGCTGATATCCTTCGAGAATTAGCCGGTTCTATCGATTTTTCTAGAATTTTGAAAAAAATCAGTATTTTCTGGCTCTGGTTCGTTAGCGGGGGGATCCGTTGAAGGCCACGCCCACTCCTTCTCTTCGCTTCCCTTTCCTATTCAAAGCCCCCCCCCCCCGCTAATGATCTAGAACCCATTTTCCGGGGTAATGTTTCAGAACAGCGCAAGGACCGCAAAAATATGTTTTCGGTAATAACGTGAATTTAGGCCAAATTTCGAATTAAAGCCTAGCAATTCAACGAATTCTAGCTAAAACTTTGTAGTTTTTAACATTAGTTGCAAATTCCAAAACAAAATCTAAAAATTTCAAATTTTCGGGAATAATGTTTCAAAAAACAGGTGAAGTCGATATATTTCTTTAGTATAATCGGCGTTGAGTCCCTCCTTATAAAATTTTTTTTTAATGCTTTGTTGACTTGTCAAAACCTCAAATTAATTCTAACATAAAATAATAATTTACAATGTATTACAATGGCAAAACTGCTCGACTTAATTTCAGTGAGCAGAGACTTCCAAAAATCGAGATAAATAGGATTTTCGGATCGTTTTAAAGTCTTTTAACGCTTGATTTTTTAACTATTCAAATTAAAAATATTAAATTAAAATGGACGCTGATTGTTATATCGCCTCCCGAAAATATATTAAAGCGATTCACCTGTGATTTCTGGCTTCGTAAAACTGCGCCGTTTTTTTGGAGAAATTTGATGTTTCGTAAAATTCATAGCATTCCACAAATCTGTTATCAACAATATCATTCCGAAATGAACCATAGAAAATAGTCGCTTGATTTGGCAAAAATGATGTTTTGGTCGTCCGTTTTTTAACAGTAGTTTTCCTTTTTCGGCGCCCGGTCGGCAGCGCCGAATTCCAGAAGCTGTTATCTGGAAATTAGGGGGCCCGGAATTTTGTAGTCTATAGTTTCGTAGTTCCGGAATCTTGTGAAAATTTTATGTTTCAAGGCGGCATGACTTTTTTGTAAAAATGAATCATGCAATACACGGAAATTATCGGTGGTGTCAGCTGCGTCAGAAACCAGAAGGAATCGATAGCCAGAAAACTGCCCCACGCCTTGCGCGTGTCTTTAAAGGAGTGGTGTTCGATGTTGGACCTTTTCGTTATTGGTTTCAAAAAATTCCGATGCCAAGCCGCACTTTTTCACCCAGATTTCCACCCAATGCTTCCATTTTCCTTACTGCAAAATCTTGATTTTTTTATGGGCTTTTTAAGCCGTAGTTTTATAAGCGAAGCTCTGATTCCCGCTTTAATTCTTCATTTCATGAGTTTAACGCAAATTAATAAATCACTACTAGTTTTTACACCACGCCAATATTTCGCGCATTTTTTACCAGCCGCTAAAAATCAGTGTTTCATCAAAATTAATTGGTCCGACGTTTTTTAAAGCGGCAATTTCGTATTGCGTGAAGATCCAATTGATAGAAATTAAATAAATGAGACTAAGGTATTTAAATTCGGAATTTTATAATTTTTTTAGATGTTTTTTCTTGTTTGTTCTGAGACCCTGATTTTGGCGAACTTTTTAATCCCCGGCCTCGCCGGCCAAATTCCACGGTTTGCCCATCGGCTTCCCGGTGCCTTTATCAGCCGCCATTTTGAGCCGCTGGTCCCGAATTTCGTCGAGTATTTATTGATCTTAATAACATCTAATTTTAGAATATACAATTTAGACATGCTCTAAAAATTTTGGAAAATAACGTTAAATTATAGGCAAGAGAAAATTCGAATGCTTCATGGTTTATTCTAGTAAAACTACGTGAAATTCGACTTTTCAGGTTTTCCGTTTCTTGATCCTTTAAAAACACCCTTTTTTGGATAATTAGAATTTTGATTTGATATTTTGCTTTTAGTTATTAATTTAGAGCTTTATTAGCTTATTGATTAATTTTGTTCTTAAATTAGGTAAAATTTTCTTTTATTAACTTCCCGACGACATTTAATAGTTTTTAGGCAATTAGCTTTAATGCTATAATTTTTCTGCATTTTATACGTAATTTTAGTATCTGCTTATGCATTAAACTTTGTGTATTCCATAAAAATGCTACGCCTTATAAAATTTTATTTTTAATAGATAAAAACGATGACGACTTCGTTGCATCACCTCAGCTTGCCCTCCTCTTCCGGTCAGGTCAGTGGATTTTTCACCAATGTTGAAGCGTTCATTCGTCAAAATTCAATATTTTGAGGAAAATAAGGTTGTTGGTTTGCACATGCGTAAAAGTGGGATCCTGATACAGGCAACTCTTTAAAACATCGTTTTGAAAAGAGTTTCACTGATAAAACGATGAACGCGATAAAATTGATAAATGTTTATTTGGCAGGCCTCGACGTAAGGCTGAAACTTATCACTTTTTAGTAGCTAAATAATTAAATGGGGACTTTTTAACTTGATACTCGTGGTTCTATCAATAATTCGCTAAAACATAAGTTTCAAAGTGAGTTTAGGAATCACATGTTTTAAATTTATGCAGCTTTAGAAGCTTTTGATCTTCATTTAAAATAGCTCAGCAGTTTTAGAAAAGCGAAAATAAGCAAAACTTTTCGGCACATAAACTAATTCTCGAAACCATTCCGCAATGCTATAGGTGCCTCGTAAAACATGGTTTAGGCCGAAAAAAATTCGAACATGTTTGTAAATTAAAATTTTCATATATTTTAATATGAAGTATCGAATGCGTTATATTTTGTCAATTCCTTTAATTAAATTCGATATTTCTCACTTCCAAAACGCGTTGCAAGTGTTTATTACCGGAAAAAAATCCACAATTTGACAGTAAGCTCGTTAAAACATTATTTTTTAAAGTGACTTCCAAAATAACATTGTTTAAATTACTACAAGTTTCTATGGTTTTGTTCTTAATTTAAAATAGCCCTTTCAACACAGAATCGAATTCTCGAAACCAGCAATACCATACCGTTTTCGTTAAAACATCATTTTTGCAACCAGAAATTGCTACATTTTTGAACATTCGATTCATTTGATTTTCAAGCTGTAAATGATTGATTTAGCTCTATGATAAATTTACTAAAGTTAAATTCATTATTTAGGGCCCTCACAAGCCATCCGCATCAGCGCCAAATTCACCCACAGATTTGCGTCCCGGAGCTTCGCCGGCAGCCGCCCGACGAAAAGCCGTAAAATCCACTGATCAGGTGAAATTTTTAATGTAATTTTAAGAGATTCCGTGTTAATTAATATATCAACACCCTACTCAAGATACCTAAAAAAAATTAAGTTTACTGGATTTTTTGCTGGAAAATTATAAAAAAACGCTTTTTAAAAGGTTATGGAAATATACTCTTCGTTGTTAATGAACTTCGGTAGTATAAAATACTTTTAAAATATGATTAAAATAGCCTTTTCCTTTAAAAGTTGATTTTTAATTAAAGACGTTGAAAACTGGATTTTTTACAAGACATTTTCTTTCTTTCTTTTTTTTCTACAAGAAATTCTCCCTGTGAAGGATGATGATAAAACAAAAGAAAAAGATACACTGAAAAAAAATAGTTTTTACTAAAATTACAAAAATATAAATATTGTATTTGATTTTTCAGGTGCCAGATTTAAACGTTGCCCACGATACCCGACCGCCATTACATCAAAAATTGAAGATCAACATTATTGATTTTGATGCGGCTGTGGAACAGATGAAAACCGAGGTAAAAATTTTTATGTTTCACTCTAAAAACAGGGCAAACTCGAAATTTCTGTTGTTAATACTCCGTCGCGTCGAAATGATAAAATTCAATTTTTCGGTAATTTTAAAATTTAATGCCCGCTGTTATTTTGATAAGTCCATAACACCAAATTTTAGTTTTCCCCGCTGTTTTATTGCGTGAATTCATCGCCTTTGTATGGAAAATTATAATTTTTGCAGTAAAAATTGTTCATGAAAATTTTAATCTTTGTTTTTTTGGCAGATTTAAATATGAATTTAATTAAATTGGGCTATTCTACATTTTACTTTTAGAATATGGTCTAATTTGATCTGTTGTAAAGTTTTTGTAATAATCTTTGGTGGTAGCAAATTGCCTGCAGATGCCTCAAAAGTAGCATTTATACAAATTACATTTTACAGATTATGTGAATTTCTGCAAAATTAAATCCATTTCTTTAACTTAAATTTAGTCCCTGGAATCGTCTCGAAAGATGGTATTCGACATCGAGGTGGCCAATATGGAGGGCATTCGAGCATTGTCAAAGCTTGAGGAGCAGGATGGTGGGTTTTTAAAGGGAGCGGGACACCTAAGATATGATCAAACTGGCTTGAATTAAAATAGCAGTCGAAAAAAATAATATCTTGAAAAAGTAATCTTATCTTCTAAAAAAATAATATCTTGAAAAGTGCCAAATAAGTATCTTGAAAAAATAGAAACGCTGCTCGCCAGCCTAGGCTCAAGAAAAAATTTTAGCGCCTTCAGAAAAACGTGTTGCAAAAAATTTCAATTCAATCGGGTTCAGAAAAGCTGCAACAGGGTGAGTTACGCAATTGCGTTAATGCGTTTACTATAGTTTTGTTGTTGTTTGGTGTTCTATAACGTAAAAATTAGCTAAAAAGGAACCTTAGAGTCCCAAATGATTGCTGCTTGTATGCCAATGGAATTCTGTTTCAAAAAATTTAAGTTTTACCGGGTTCAGAAAAGTTGCAATACGGCGAGGTGCGCGGCGTTTTCAAAATTCTGTGTTTGATAACGTAAAAATTCGCTAAAAAAGAAGCTTAATATCCAAAATCAGCTCTGCTTATATGTCAATGAAATTCTTACCAAAAATGTGTTTCAAAAATTTTCAATTAACCAAAATTCTCGAAAATCCAGAAGGAATCGAAGTTAAACTCCGCAAATTAAAATTATGATGTTTTAAATTAAAAATGTTATACATTTTTTTAGAACAACTCGACCGGGTACAAGCCGATCTTGAAACAATACACAACCACATGACGGAAGTCAGAAGAGATATCGGAAAGATGAATCGATTGTTGGGCTGTTTATTTCCGAAAAAATTGCTTTCGTGGTGGGTTTGAGATTTTCTTCGGCTCTCTCTCTCGCTCCCTCTCTCTCTCTCTCTCTCTCTCTCTCTCTCTCTGTCTTTCTTTCTTTCTTTCTCCCTCTCTCTCGCGCCCTCTTTCTTCGGTCAAATCCCGCGCTAACGAACAGGTAAAAGAGAAGTAATTATGCCTCCAGTTATAATCGAAATGACCTGATTTTGCGAAACATACTCTTTTTAATCTGAAGTTCAGTTTCCCGATCTCGAAATGCTCAACCTCCAACACGATCGATGCTGATTTTGAGGTTTATAGAAGGTGAGTTCCATTTGCTTTTCTAGAAAAAATTCTGCCTTTCCGCAAAGCATCTCTGCTAGCTTGCCATTACTAGATCCTTGCTAGTATTTAAGGAATCTCTGCTGGCTTGCCCTCAAACTGATTGTGTCAATTTCTTAAAAATCCCTGGTAGATGTCCTTTTTTGGCCGCTTACAATCTCTGCTAGCCTGCCCGATCTCAAATCGTACTTAACACTCAAAGAATCTTTGCTAGCTTGCCCGTAATCTCAAAAAGCACCGCGCCAGCTGGCTTTTCCCAAAGAACCTCGGCTAGCTTGCCCGTAATCTGAAAGAATCTCTGCTAGCAGGCCATTTTTTGAGCTGCTGATAGCCTCTGCTGGCTTGCCCCGATCTCAAACTTCCGTTAATTTCCCAAAAATCCCTGCTAGCATGCCTTCTTTGCGATCAATAATCACCGCCAGCTTGCCTCCCCAGCCCATAAAAGTTGTTGATATTTATCACGGCCGCCCAGTTCGCCTAATTTTTTCGAGCCCCCTAAAAATATTTATTACCCTCTAAAGGTATTTTAATAGGGGGCTTTTAATGGGTTTATTTGTGGGGGGCATCACATTCCTTGAATTACGACCCCAAAATGGGCTCTGTCACGTTATCAGTTCGACCCACAAAAAAGTGATTTCACCGACCATTCTGACGCAATTCAACGAAATACGGCAAGACGGATGCATTTTGGGGGGATTTTTTGGATTTTTGGAGCCCAAGCCTGAGCCAAGCTTGAGCCTAAGCCTGAGCCTGAGCCTGAGCCTGAGCCTGAGCCTGAGCCTGAGCCTAAGCCTAACCCTAAGCCAAGCCTAAGCGTAAACCCCTAAGCACCAGCCACTTTTGGCTGAAATTTGGTACTGGTTTCTTAGCGGGGGGAGCCGATTTTTTTATTTCCTTCAGGATCCACCTACCTACCTGTGAATAATATTGAATGTATTTTTATACTATCTTTAACCGTCTTTGATTGCTAGAAATTCCAACCACGTCAAGATTCGCAAAATTAAAATGAACTTATCAGAATCCTTTCTGAAACATTTTTTACCCGAAACAAAAAAATTTGGGAATTTTTATGTAGTCATGGTTTCTAAAAATCTGTAAAATACAATCAAGTATAAATATGCAAAAATAAGAAAAACAATAGAATTTGCAGGGCCTCCCAGCCGGCCATTCAAGCGTCGCTGAAAAAGAAGCAGCACTCGGTGCATCGAGATGACAGCCTTTCCCATCGGTATGTTTCGATGAGAATTAAAGACAACGAAACAGCAGATTTTTAATAGATAACCAAGCTATCGAAATTTTTTAGAGGGTTTTTTTGTGTTTCTGACGTTTTAAATCCATTAAAACTATGGAATTGGTTAGTTTTTTGATGATTAAAAATTAAAAAAAATTTATATTTATCTAAAAAATTTTTAATTTTGTTCCATTGATACTTTATAAACCTAAAAAGTATGGTCTTAGCCTTAATTTTCCAGGCTAACCGCGGATTCTGCGGCCGAGGATGAGCTGGAGGCCAATATGCGACAGGTAATATTGTGATATTTACGATTTACAATGTTATTTTATCTAAATGTAGTTCTAACAAACTTATTCTGTGAACACGATAAGCCTCAACATTTTTTGAAAAATGTACGTTCCTTTTTCTAAAGAAGAAATGTTTCAAATTACTTCAACATTTTCAAACTTTTAATTGCCATTAATCGGGGGAGCGTTCGTAATACTACATAATTCTATTTAAAATATATTTAAAGAGCGCTTTTTTCAGATCTACGAGGGTGTGGATAATCTGCGGCATCTCTCCATCGACATCCACTCCCAGCTGATGATCCAGGAGCCAAAGCTCAACATGCTCGTCCAAATGGTTCGTTTTTCGTTCAAGGAATTTGCTGTTTGTGCCGCACCCATTAAATGGCTTTTAATATTGTAACGATTAAACCTTTCAAAAATCATGTAAAAAAGAATGTTTCTAAAAAGTTTAACCTTAAAACCTACAACATTTTCGACCAAAAATGACCGATTTTGCCCAAAATTTCGACGTTTTCAACATTAAAAATTTTTTTAGATTGTTGTTCTAGTTTAGATACAGCTAAATTTGGCTAAGACCACGATTAAAACAATTCCCTTTAAGTTTCTAGCCATCGGTTTCTGGCAAATTGACCAGTTTTTAAAAAATGTTTCTAAAAACGGCCACTTTCGCCCAGCCCGAAACCAGCCCTATTTTCAGGCGGAGGACAGCTCTTCGGCGATGGGCGGCGCGCACAAGGAAGTCAAGAAGCTCATCGGCGATTGATTGCCACAAAATACAGGCTACAAACTATAAAATCTACCCTTTTCCGCTACAATACGGGCCCCGGGCGTTCTGGTTGCAAAACGGAACGCGCTTTCTCTCTGTGATTCGCTTGTGTACAAATGAATAAAATATAAAAAACAATAGTTATCTTCAATGCAATAAAAAGGCAAGTCGTGCAACCACAATTTATTAGAAACCCGCTATTCACAGAAAAATTAATTCGTCTTCATGTTGGCTTTTTTGTTGGTTCGTCTCGGGCTGCGCTGTCGGCTCGATTAACACTTCTTGGCGGGGCGGCCGCGCTTCTGAAATTTTCGATATTTTTGCGTTTTTTCTAGACGCCAATCGATAGGCGTTTTTCTAGACGCCAATCGACAAGATACAACCAATTTTAGTCACAGCTAAAATTTTGGAAAATGCAAGAGGTATAGCAAAAAAAATACACTTTGAAAATGGCGTTAAAAAGCTAGTTGTCCGGTATTTAGAAGTTTTTATATTGTCAGTATTTTTTGAGGTGCCGTTCGATAGAGCATCGAAAACTATACGAAGGGTTTTCATTACAGCTCAGAATAACCCAACATAAAAGAATTATAGCAAAATTACATTAGAAATTACAGCAATTATAAAACGTTATAGAAAGTGGATAGTTTTTCATGAAAATAACCTAGATTTAAACGAGACACACTAAAAACCTTGAAGAGAACTGTTGCAATCCAGAAGTTTGGTAACAAAATGGCAATTTTTTGTCGAAAAATCCAATTTTTCTATTTTCTACAATTTTTTGAAAGTTTTAACGTTTAGTAATATTGAAAAAAACAACTCAAAAACATTTATATTTTATTTATATTTGAAAAATTGGATCCTTAGCAAAAAGGCTTCGGTTCTCCCGCCCAATATTGCTTCCACCCACCGCCACAGTCTTCTTGACGGCGCGGGACGAACGAGACGAGCGCGAGGAGGAGCGGCGCGTTGAGCGCGAGCGCGACCTGGCCGCCGGTCCCTTCTTCGTGGCGGCACGACGGCGAGCAGGGGCTTTCTGAAATAGTGGTTGAATTTAAACATGGACTTGGCAGATTAGAGTGCGACTTGGACAACTCGCCTGCACGGGCGGCGTGTGAGCAGAGAGCGAGCGGGCCGACGTACGCGTCTTCTTCGCGCCGCGCCCACGGCGAGCAGGGGCTTTCTGAAAGTGGAAAGTATGAGCATGACAGGTGGTGCTCACCTGGACGGAGGCCGTGCGGACCGACGGCGAGCGGACCGAGGGCGAGCGGACAGAGGCTGTGCGAAAGGAGATCGAGCGCGAACGGCTCCTCACGGGTGGCGTGTGAGCAGAGAGCGAGCGGGACGGTGCGCGCGTCTTCTTTGCGGCTGCACGACCGCGAGCGGGGGCGCGCTTCTGAAATCGATCTTCGGTTAATAAGCCAAATTGTTCTTTCGCATTGTCGGGGGGAACAACCTATTTTTCTTAGGATCTAATTTTTCAAATATAAAATAGTGGGAAAAAGAAAGAAAAGAAAACCCACTCTAAATGTCTTCACCTATACAAAATTTTATTAAAAATCGCCAAAACGGTAGCTTTTTCAAACAAAATTGGCAGAATCTTGACCAAATGTCGATTTAAAAAATGTTTCGATTTTTTTCAAACAAACTTTTATCAAGTTCTAGACAGTTTTCTAGTTGAATATAGCTAGTTTTTATATAAAATATAAAAAACACTATAAACACCAAATCACATCAAGTGCGTCGACATTTTACTTTTTGGTCGAAAAAGTATAAAAATGGGCAAAAAAGGTCTAGATTTTCAACTTTCAAATTTTGCTAACTTTCTAACCATCAAGATTCTCTAAAAACGTTGTAAATACACGCTATAATTAACAGATTGGTATAGACGGAAAAACCAAGATTACACCCCCCCTAACAGTCCAGTACCCCAAATTCCCCACGCCGATAACCTTTTCAATACCTTGGGCGCGGAGACGCTGCGGGAGCGAGAGCGGGAACGGGAGCGCGAGTTGGAGCGGCGGCGGCTGGGCGTGGTGCTGCGAGCAGTGGTGGCCTTCCGGGAATACGACAATGAGCGCTTCGGCTTGGCGGCAGCGCGCTTGCCGGGCTATAAAAATGGAAGGCTATTCTTTCTAACTTCCGGTGATACCTTGCGGCCACGAGCGGCTGGCTTGCCGGGGCTGATCGAGTGGGCCGTCGACACGCCGCTCGTCGGGCTGTCGTTGCGGGGCGTGGAGGCGCGCTTCTTGGCGCGACGAGTAGTAGCGGCTGCGCGAGGCATCGCTTGACGAGTGGAAAGGAATGGATTTTGGGGGAATTTTAGAGTTTCTTTTATAGCTGGAAAACGGCATGCAAAACGCGCGCTACCGGTTATGCTGAATTCAGAACTGGCGGATGCAATCTTCTTTTGATCGCTTGATTGATTGATTGATTTTTCGGCCCTCTATCGAATGGGATTTTCAAAATATAGAAAATATTCAAAACGCCGAAAATATGTCCCCCCCTGTTATCCTATGTGCTGCCCATGGATTTTGGTCAATTTTTGTTTATTCGATAAAAAATTTCATTTACATTATTTTAGGCTGAAATTGATTCTCTTATGATATTTTTCGGCGCTCTATCGAATGGCACTCGCAAAATCCCACAGCAATTGCAAATTTCATAAAAGTGGATGCCCCCCGTTATTTAATTCCCCCCTGCTATCCTATGAATACCGAATTTTTTGCTGATTCCGAATATGGTTTCAGAATTTGCAGAATGCCCTTATCTCAGTTACAGCGCATTTTAGGGTCTTTGTGGGCCAGAAATTGCAACTTTAAGATGCTGTAAAAACCGTATGGGCAAAATAAGTAAAAGTTATATATCGCTTCTTGTCCAGCATGAAAAATGCTTTTAGATGAGGTAGCTGATATTTGTTCGATTTTTCAAAAGAAACCCGTTTAACAGCAAGGGTACCATTAGACCTCCCGAAAAAAACCCTTCCCAACCTCCTCCAACCCCTATCCAATCCCCCAAACCTCCAAACCTCTACAAAAAGTGTGTCGGAATTTCGAAACCATTTAAATTTACAAAACACATTTTCTACAAAAAGTGTGTCGAAATTTCGAAACCATTTAAATTTACAAAACACATTTTCTACAAAAAGTGTGTCGGAATTTCGAAACCATTTAAATTTACAAAACACATTTTCTCGAAAAAGTGTGTCGGAATTTCGAAAGCATTTAAATTTACAAAATACATTTTCTCGAAAAAGTGTGTCGAAATTTCGAACATTTAAATTTACAAAACACAAAGCTGTAAAAAACTTTGTACCTGGGTCCTTGGGAATTGCAATAAGTAGCAGATCGCTAACGTTTCAACCGTTACTTTTAACAAAACAACCGTGATCATAAATTGTGTTTAATAAAATCTACCTAAATTCAATAATTCGAATTGTTTCAGAATTCTAGGGACTTAGCGAAATTTTTGAACCGTTGAAAGGTATTCAAGAATTCAAATGCGCCAATGGGCGCTTCCTTTTCTTCGCAATTGCGCCACTTCGCGCTTTTTTTGTATAATTTCGCGCGTCTGCGCTAGTGGCGCTTCCCTTCCCGATAAGCGCCATTGGCGCTCCCACTCTCCGTATTGGCGCGCCCGCTAGCGCATTGATGAAGTTGGCGCGCCCGCTGGCGCTTTATTAACCGAGAGCTATTCGGATCAGCGTTTGCTTCTTCTCTCAACAGATTTTATGTAGAAAACCAGCGCTGACCCCCCGCTCCGCGGGGGTTCAGCGCTGGCCCTCCCGGGGGGAAAAAGGGAAACGGCATGGCTCCGGTGAAAATTTTCATCCCCCAGCTACGGTATTTTTGGGGGTTCGCGGCGGGATTGAATTCCCGGTCGCACGGACGGACGGACATTAGAAATTTATATATAGTAGATCCTAAAGAACCAAGTTGGAAAATCAACGAGGACTTCTAGGCTTAGTTCTTCGCGTTGGCAGTCTCGCACATTTTCCCGATCTGCGTTTGTTGTGTGCAATTGTTCTATTTGTATCACTCAAAATTGTTGGTTTTCTTTGGCCACGCATTCTTCTTGTCGATATGTTCTCAAAATCGCATTGTTTTCAACCGAAATCTATGTATCCGGATGAGTTAGCGCGTTTTTAGTTGTAAAACTAATGGGAAACCCTTCCGAAAACATTAGTAAATTTTCTTGTAATTATATATAGTTTGGTTTTGCTTTTTACGTATTTTCTTTTATTCATTTTTCGTTTTGTCTGTTATTATTTAGTTCTATTCTCACGCTAACGTTCTTAATTTAGTTCTTGCCACGCCCAGAAATAGCGGCAATAAGGGCCTAAGCAACGCGACGCTCCATTCGTCAACGAAATGTATGGGGCCCAAATTTCGAAGCCTTATAACTTCAAAACTAAAGGGAATCTTAAAAAAGTCGATTTCCAACTTTGTAGAATGGGACACGGCGATTCTAATGATACCAAGAACTAAGAAAACTGAATTCAAAAAGTATCGAAACGAAGGCGATTTTTATTTCGTTTGAATTTGGGGGGGATTTGCCGCGCTTTGCAGGGTCGTTTGTATTGGTGTGTAGCGAACGGCCCTGGGAACGAGATAGCCTATTGAAAACTTAAAATGCTTATAAAAATCTGCTGCTTCATTGTTAAGACATGTCCAGTATACCAAAAAATTCTGCTTTTTTCGGGCTACAAAACGAACGACCGGTCAGGATGCCTACATGCCAAATCGCTGAGAAAATTACGAAAAAAAGTCGAGCCACCTATCCTTTTGTCATAAACTGTAGTAAGAAAGTAAAAGGAAACGCCTGCTAGTGATTCTATCGCCAAATTATATTTTATTTCATTTATCTTTTACATTTGCCTATCCGATTACCCAACTAAAAGATTCGAACCCAATGTTGCTTGCCGTTGTGGTACGTACGTGCCGTGTAACGCCCCGTAGCCTTCCGCCTCAAATTGCCGAAAATCTATGCATTTGAATGGGCGTGTTGCAGAACCGCTTACGCCTTCCCTTTCTCATGCGCCCGACCCGCCATTTTGATTTTCCAGCCGGCCCTCAGGCTGTTCGGGCTTTTCCAGCTGCCCAGTCGATTTCCCTGTTCTAAAACTTGCTTTTTCTATCCTATCAGCAAGAAATGCAAGCAATAATTTGCCTTTTTTCAGATGAACGATGGGGTGGACCTAGGGACGAGCATACTTTTCCGGCCCGGCGCGCTGGACGCGAACAATGATCGCGCGATCAGCCGAAGATTGGCCCAACGCGAGGTGCGGTTCTGGTGTTCTTTTTGGGCGTAATAACGAAAAAGTCCTTTTTTTGGCATGAAAAGTTTTTCTCACCAAGCTACGCAGCTCTCGGTTACGAAAATGGCCTTTTTATGAAGAAGAAAAAGGGTTGGGAGGGACCAGAGTACTCGCCATTTTCAAAATCTTATCTGTGTACTTTTACTAGCGTTTCCCAATCGTTTTTCTTGTTGCTTCAAATGAAACCGGCGTGACTCTTATTATAAAAACTTTTGATAATGATGAAAAATCATTGTGAAACTTTGTATGGCAGCGTTTTGCCATCGTGATATCAACTAAAAACCCGCTAACTCGAGGAGATTCATAAATTCCAGTTAAAACTACCATTTTAGGCATAATTTACGTAATTTTCTTCTTTTTTACAGCTCGGCATCGGCGTCCGATCCTTCCAACGACGCTATGTGGCCCAATGCGGCATCGAGAAGTTTGTCGTCTGCATCCACGGCCGCGGCAAGCGCGCATCTACCAGGACGATAAGGTATCTTTTTTAAACAAGAATAACACTGTCTGATTTCCAGTGAAATATTCCGGAAGCGAGGCGGGCTACTCGGGATGAGCTACAACGAGCGCTGGTTACTAGGCATCAATATTATAAGGTTTGTAAGCTTTGTTGTTTGTAATTTGACCGCTATTTTTAGAGAGGTCAGCGCGTACTACGCTGACTTGTACATCATGCAACTTTTCCCGGGGTATCTCGTCCTGGTAGGGGCTTGATTTTCGGAGATGAGCCTTTTTAGGATCGAATGTTGCGAATCGAGAATTTCCCCTACCACGGCTTGGTGCAGGTCTTTTTCCCCTGCGATGCCGATCACTGCGTGGCGAAAGTTGTCGAATAGTGAGTTTTATGGTGATGGTTTTTTGTTTCGTTCGCATTATCGGGTGGGGGGAGGGGAGGGGGGGGGGGGCGAATAGTAAGTGTTTTGATTGCTTTTTTGTAAAATAACCATATTTCAATTAGAAAACCGATCTAAAAAGTTTCGACAAAGTCGAATTTTTCGGCAAAAATTGATAGGTTTGATGTTTTTAAGCAAATTTATAAAGTTTTCACGCTTAGGAATAGTGAAAAACATTTAAAAACACTTCCACTATGTTTATTTTGAAAAATTAGAAAATTCGCCCCCCCCCCCCCCCGCGATAATGCAAAAGAACCAGAAAAAGCAATCAAAAATTTGCAGCGAATCCTGGAACGCCACAAAGTGTCTGCAGGGCCCCTCGTCGCTGGAAATGGGGGTAGATTAAGATTTGTTGAAGCGGATTTTTTCGTTTTTTAGATTCATTTCTACCTGCCCAGCCACGATCTCCACTTTTCCAGCAACACCATCGCCACGTTCACGAGACGACGCTATAATGACAAGGAGCTGGGCAAGTAGGGATTGTTTGCAAACTTGGATATTTTCGCTTTTTTCTAGACACAACGTGCGCGTACACCGGCACGGCGCCGTGGTGAACTGTGGGACGTGCCTGGTCAACTACCATTTTCTCGGCGAGCGATCCGTGCTGTCGACGACGAAAAGCTTATTGACGACGCGGGTACGTTTTTGGGCAGTGGCTTGTTAGCAGAGGGGGCCAATCTTGGTTTTTCCGTCTATACCTACCTGTTAAAGTCTTTGATTGGTAGAAAGTTACAAAACTAATTTTAAACCGTTCTGAAAATTCGAAAATTTTGGCCGTGGTCCACTTTTCATAACTTTTTGACCAAAAATCCGAAAATTGTTTCCTTTATAGCGTTTTTTTACCTCTAAAAATAGCGTAAAATGCGATTAAATGCTTTATATTGCGTTGTGGGACCGTAGAGGATTACTGGGGAAAATTGGTTCCCCCGCTAACAGACCAGTACCCAATGCTCAATTTTAGGTCTGGTCTGTAGTGAAAAATGATAGCGACAACCAGGACCCGGCCCCCAGCTCCATCCAGCTCGAGATTGGCGAAAAAGTGGCGATTGCCCCCGCGATTACCAACGAGGTATGATTACAAATTTTTGGCGATTTCTGTGCGATTTCTGCTGTAGGTGTTCACGCGCGTCTCCTATGGGCTGAAATCGTTCACTGACGATGGTCCCGAAGAACCAGGTCAGATTGTTCTGTCCTTTGCTCCATTTAACAACTCTGCAGGGCCCGTCATCGGCAAGCCGCCGCTGTACGTCAGACGACAATCGCTGGACATCGAGCAGTGCATAGATGTGACCCTGCGGCGTTTCTTCCACCAGACAAAACTCGTCTATCAGGGATTCAGCGACTATGAGGTAGCCATTCTAGATTGATATGACCCATATTTTCAGCCGGAAATTGTGCAAATCGAGCACGGCATCGCCTATCTGTCAATCTACTGCGTCGCCGAGTTTCAGGTTTTTTTTTCAGAACTCCGGATCAACGTCCTCCTTTTAGCAAACGATTGAGCGAAAAGTGGAGAACAAATTCTTCGTCGTCGACGTGAAGCTGAAATGGTTAGAAAGCTGGCGATTCTGCCTGATTTTTTTTGTCGTTTAGGGACCTCTTGAATAGCGTCGTCTACCGAATGGACAATCCGAGACTGCTGCAAAAAGTTTGCCACACAAAGGTAGGACAGTTTTTAGGGGTAATCAATCGCTTCTTCAGGTTTACTCGGCGCACTCGTGGTACCCGCTGACACGATACCCCGTTGAAATGTCCACCGAACTGTGCGCCGTCGACAATTTGCCAATGTACAGCGGTATGGCTCTTTAAATCATTTCCATTATTCCATAAATTTAGGCAAAAACCTGAGCTCGATCGGCTGGAAGCACGGCTCGTTCTTCATCAGCAAGAAGGACGACTCGGACTGATACATTGACCCCGAAGTAATCGCTTGATCTCTACCATATATTCTCCTTTTGCCAACTCACTCTGCTGCCGGGTATTTGTAAGAAGCTGCTACACTGGTGCTCTATCAAAAATTACTTTCTTGGCGTTGATGTGATACTTGTGAAATGTACTTTACTGGATTTTAACGAGCCTGTCTTTGCTTTTGCGACTAGGACTTGATGACGAATTTGTATGGCATAAATTGATGAATCTTTCGACTATGAAAAAGGCTACACGACTCGAGGCTACAACGACCCGGAAATCATTTTTTCGTCTTGGTGTGGTATCTATGTAGCGAAAGGAGCAGAGAATGGGATTGTCATGCTGTTGCGAAATGCGGTAATTGAATGGGGGACTGCTTGTTTGGATTAGTTGTCAAATTCTAGCGTGTTTTTATATTGTTTTCAGATTAATGTATATTCTAGTATTTGTATATATTCTATATATTCTAGTATTTGTATAACTAGTATAACTGAAATTTTGGTACAGTTCTTTCGCATCATCGGGGGAACCAACTTTTTTAGGATCTAATTTTGCGAATATAGATAATAACTGTTGTAAACGGTTTTTTCTATTCCTAAGCCAAAAATATAGATTTTTTTATGAAAATGGCCGATTTACGACGCAAATATCTACTTTTTCGAAACGTTAGATGGTTTTTCTATTTGAAATATAGTTGTTTACTAAAAACACTATTAAAACGCCTCACACCACACGTCTATTAGTTACTAGACATTTTCGGACTTCTACAAAAATTTTTTGGCTTCTTTTAGAAACAGCTAAAAGTCTACCCTTCTATTGTCGCGACATCCCCGGCCACTGGTTACGCGGGGAAATTCTCACCCAGTCTCCTCCTCCTCATCTCTGAGCTATCGATCAGATTCGGGTGCTCGACCAAAACATTAGTGCAAACCTATCCCCAAACTGGGGTTTATCCCCCCATTTTTATCGTCTATTAACCTTTTTAGGCCCCGTACTTTAGCACCCTTTTCAGGATGTCCCTCGAAATACAGCAAAACGAACGGACCAAACGATGCTTTGTCGAGCTGGAAAAACGGCTAGACGACCCCGAAAAGCAGCAGATTGTCGCTGTACTGGCGCAGAAGGATGTTTTAACCGTTGGAGATGTCAAGAAAATTCAGGTGAGTTTGGTATTTTGGTTGCAAACTATTTTTTAGGCCCTCATCCCTCCAAATTTCCCGGCATTTTTCATCCTGCTGAACGAATTTCGACGAGTGAGAGAGCCAGATTATCAAGTGGGTTTTTTCTACTGGAGTTCCAATCGATTTATCTGTTAGAACCGCTCTTTTGTATCGAAACGAGTTTTTACCTTTGTAGTTTGGTGCTTGCGTGTTATCGGTGGGGGCTAGGTATTATGAGGTATCTAGAAATGTCTAGTCACTAATAGGACGTTGTTATATTTGAAAAGTTGAATCCTATGAAAAATGTTGCCCCCACGATAATGCGAAAGTACCCGAAGATTAGATACGAAGGGCGCAAGAGCATCAAAAAAACGTTTGTTTTCAGGCCAGCCCCGCATTCCGCGCCAAAACCGACCAGCTAAAACGCAAATTTGAAGACTATGCCTATCGCAAGTTGGTGGAAAGCGTCGACCCGGCCCAATCATACGGCGCCACCCCATTGATGGCCGATTTTGGCTCGGATTTCCGGTCGATGAACCGTCAGCTGGGCACGGTCAGTATTTTTCGGCATCAAACAGACTTTTGTTTTAGGTAATCAATTTCGCGATCACGGTCATCGGCGGGTTCTTTTTCGGCTTCAGCGGCGTCACCTACGCGTATCCATCTAGAGATTGGGATTTGGCGACGAGGTGTGTTTTGAATCAAGAGATTTAGGTTATTTGCTAAAAAGCTGTGGATTTTTTCACTTTTCCTGTAGAATCAGATACGCGGGATGTAAAAGTTAGGTTTTTAAGGATATTTGAACAAGATTTAGCTGTTAGTGAACAAGTGTTAGCTGCTGTATTTAGTGAAAATCGATTTATGCACCTTACAGATCGCTGGAATTTTTGAAATTTTGATCGGATTCGGAAAATCTAGTCGACAAATACGTGTTTTGGTTTTTGTCTTTTAGAAACGCTCGAATTTTAGTCTAAAATTGGTCGTTTGGAGTCTTCATAGTTTGTAGTTTCATATTTGTTTGGGCTTGATAATAGGTATATTTCGTCGTCGAGATCAGGGTTTTTTCAGGTTCCTTATCGGCCTCGTGCTGGCGACGATCATCTTCTTTGCCGATCTGTACTTTCTGATCAAGAATATGGACGAGGAGCTGGCGCCGAGGCCTAATGCCGGGAAGCTTCACGAGGTTCCCCTGGATCTGAGGGCCCTCGCCGGAGACAAGGCTGCTACAAAGACCGCGTCAGAACAGCCAAAGGAAAAGGACACTGTAGCGCCGAAAGCAGTGCCGAGGAAAAGCCGAAAAGCGAAGAAGGACGACTAGGAAAATGTCGATTGTCTGTTTTTCTTTTCTTTGGTATTTCCGGGGTGGAGGGACGTTTTTGCTTACAATTAGGATCTAATTTTTTTAGTTCAGTTTTCATCGGAAGAAAAGTTGTTTACATTGCTATTTAGAAAAATCGACTTTTGGAGCCAAAACGAAGAAAGCTTCGAAATTTACAAACTTTTCAGGGAGCTTTCCTGCTTTAGTTCTTTTTTCTCTGTAAGATAGTTTTTTAGATGTCTTTCTAACTATTCCTAGACGTAGCCCCTTTATAAGTTGTAAGGAAATCGTTTTTTTTCGAACAAAATGCCACGTTTTCAAGTTTCTAGACATTTTTTTCGACTTGCAATATCTTCATTTTACTAAAAATATTTTCTATGGCCTTACTAGCCTGCCCTCCCCCCGGTAATACTCAAGATCCGGATTGCTAGGCGTTGTGCTTGATCTTCCATGTTGTCCATACCTTTAAACGTCATTTGCTGCTTTTAAAAATTTAATTCTTGCACCCACTTTATGTAGAATCCATTCCATTCCTTATCCTGTGATATCTTTTCCTAGGCAATTTTTCTCTAGTAAATTACCTGTCTTTTTGCGAGCAGGTGCTGTGATTCCAGTCTGAATGTCGTGACTTCTTCCATTTTTCGTGGCCGCTCCCCATGCGAGATTGTATAAAATAATTCGTTTCAGATGCTCATATGTCGATCGCACCCCTCTCTAGCACACATTTTTCGCCGTTCGGGCAGCTCGGCTGCGGCCGGCATCGTTTATAGGTGAGCGGAACGAAAGTGTCGGCTTCATTATCGGCTGGGGGGCGATTTTTTTGTATAGCTCCAGAGATGCCGCGGAACGTTATAGGATTGTTTTAGTGTTTTTGGTAAAATATAACTTTGTTTGAACTAGAAACACAATCTAAAAACTTGCTAAATTCGAAATTCCCGTGAAAAATTGGCCTTTTTGGGCGAAAATCTATGCTTTTTGTATCATATGTAATAAAGTTTGAAGATAAATTCTTAAAAAAGGGTGCCCCTGCACGATAGTGCGAAAGAAACGAAAGAATCTAGAAATCCCAAAATCGAGAAATGGCCGAAATGCTATAAAGAACCTCATTCTCCCAATTTACAGCAAACCGGAGAAGTTCGACGTGGTCGTGGTGGGCGGCGGCATCGTGGGCTGCGCGACGGCGCGTGAGATTCTGCTCGAGCGGCCGAATCTGAAGGTGGCCGTCATTGAGAAGGAGGCCCAGCTCGGTTGGCTACATACTTTCTTACACGATTACGCGTTAAAGAGCGACGGGTTTGGTTTAGTCGTGTTCCGCCGTACTCGATAAGCTTTTCGCTGAGGATCGTTTCTAACAACTTTTTCAGCGCCTCATCAAAGTGGGAACAACAGCGGCGTCATCCACGCGGGCATCTACTACACTCCGGGCAGCTTGAAGGCCAGGTTATGCGTAGAAGGTTGGTGGAAAATGCTTTTTCGGCAAATTTTCGAATTTTTCAAATGCTTTTCTGATTTTTCAGGTTTTTATACTTGAAATTGAGTTAAAAATACTAAAACAAGATGGCCGGCCGATTGCACGAATTCTAAAATAACCTGAAAACCAACGTTTTTTTCAGGGATGAAGCTGGCCTACGAGTTCTTCGACCGTCGCAAATTCCCCTATAAAAAGACGGGCAAGCTGATCGTGGCCGTCGAGCCAGTGGAGGTCGATCGATTGATGGTTAGTCACATTCCAGGATTTTCCAAACCGAAAACGCTTTCCAGCACCTCTACGAGCGCGGTGTGCAGAACGGGGTGCCCGACTTGGAACTGGTCGACGGCGACCGCATCAAGGAGTTCGAGCCGCATTGCAAGGCAACTTTTCTGGGGTGCAAATTGATGGGAATTGGATTTGGATCTGCAGGGGCTGAAGGCCATCTGGTCACCGCACACCGGCATCGTCGATTGGGGCGCCGTCACGCGGGAATATGCCAACGACTTCCGGGAAAAGGGTGGAGAGGTCAGCGTTACTTTTCGAGGGCAAAAATGTTGAAATTTATGCATTTTAAGTCCTATTTTACGATTTAGATCGAAAAACTGTGTAAAATACTACCAAAATTCGTTGCCAAAAAATGTACAGTTTTTTAGGTGCTCCTCCACCATCCACTACGTTCGTTCGGGCAATCCGGCGATCCGGAATATCCGGTACGGATCGTGTCGGACGCGGACAAGGTACGTCCACTATAAAAACAAATTATAACATTCCATTAGGCCCCACTATTAACGAAATACGTGATCACCTGCGCCGGGCTGCAGTCTGACCGTGTCGCTCAATTATCCGGCTCCTCCAGGGATCCGAAGATTGTCCCATTTAGGTGAGAAGTCGCGCCAAGGAGCCGCATGGGAATTACGGCTCGAAATTGGATTCGCCGATCCTTGTAAAGCCGAATTTTAGGGGTGAATACTTGCTGCTGAAGCCGGAGAAGCGACACCTCGTCAAAACTAACATTTACCCGGTAACTGCTTAAGAAATGTCTTTTTAAATGTCCATTTTTTACGTTATGGGTTTTTTTCAGGTTCCCGATCCGAGATTCCCGTTCCTCGGCGTCCACTTTACACCGCGAATGAATGGCGACGTGTGGCTGGGCCCGAATGCGGTACCGTTTTTCGTGATTTTTCAAATTTAAGTTTATAGGTGCTTGCGTACAAACGTGAGGGCTATTCATATTTCTCCGTGTCGCCGCGGGACCTGTTCGAGTCGCTGTCGTATAGGTGGATTTTTCAACGTTTTTTTATCTTTTTAACGTTTGTAACTCTTTTTTTATCACACATAATCAATGATCGCGACCACCGGACATTAATCAACAAAAATGATTCGGAAACTCGCGACATTTTGAAGCATTTTTCTCGAAAGCCCATTCGGGGGGGACTTTCGTAATGTGTAAAAGTGTCTAGTAACTTAATAGAAAGCTTTTTTAACAGTTTTTTCAGTGAAATATAACTTTATTTCAAATAGAGAAAACTCTATGCTTTAAGAAATGTTCGAAAAATCGGAATTTGGGTCAAAAACGTCCACTCTTCACGGAAAATTCGATATTTTTCACATTTTTAACATAATTTGTAATGTTTTTACGTTTAGGAATAGTAAAAAAACAGTCTAGAAACACTTCCACTATTTATATTAAAAAATTGGATCCTAAGCAAAAAAATCTTGCCCCCCCCCCCCGTTTATGCGAAAGGACCGAATGTTGATTTGCGGCTGAAAAACGGATTATGAATCAGTTCTGATTTGAAAATTTGGAAAATGGCTTGAAATAATTGTAGTAACCGATTTTCACATCAATTTTTTAGCGGAATGCAAAAGCTGGTCGGCAAGTACTTCAACTACGGCATCAAAGAGTTCTACCGCGGCATTTTCATCCGTGCACAGGTGCCGAACGGAATTTTCCTGTATATGCCGTTTTTAGGTGAAGCAGCTGCAACGTTTCGTGCCCGAGCTCAAATTCTCCGACGTCACACGGTATAGAATTTTTTCTACGGTTTCGCACGTTTTTTTTGCTGGAGGTTAAAAAAATTCCTGCGGCTGTTTACAGCTTAACCTTGACAGCTTTTAAATAGTTTAGAGCTGTAGCTACAGGAAAATACCTCTATTTTATAGCGGCCCATCCGGTGTACGCGCCCAGGCAATGGACGCCCAAGGGAATCTGGTCGACGATTTCGTCTTTGATGCAGCGGAAGGAGAAGTGAGTCTTTTTGCCGGTTTCAAGGGAAAATGTCTGTGAAGTGGCAAATTTGTCTACGGAGCTAAAAACTAGTAAAGTGGATGATTTTTTTAGGTTGCTTTTTCGACCAAGATTTCGGCTTTTTGATTTTCTAAAAATTGTCTAGATACTTTTTTACATTAAATACCGTACTAATTACCACGATTAAAATACATACTATTACGTTACTAAGCATTTCCGCACTTATACACCCCCCCCCCCGTTAGTGCGAGAGAACCAGGCAAGAAATAACCGTTTTTTCAGTTCGACGGTCGCATTCTGCACGTCCGCAACGCCCCGAGCCCCGGCGCCACCTCGTCGCTGGCCATCGCGAAGATGATCACCGAAAGAGCGCAGAAGCTGTTCAACTTTTAGCGGCGCTTGGGGGTATCGAATCTCCCTTCTCACTTCCACGTCCCTTTAAAATCTGCTCAGCCGATTTTCTCGCCTTGTAGTCTCCGAAGAGGCATAATTTAGCTTACGCATTTTTGTATATTCTAAAACTACACCTTATTTTTCAAATTTGCTGTGTTTTGTCTAATTATTTTTTGCCTTACCGCTCCATTCCTGCCCACCGCTGTACCGTACGTGTAGTATTTTGGCGAGTTACTGTGTGATAAATTGAGGATTCCATCTAACGAGCGTGGAGCTGAGATTCTTGCGGATTTGTTGGGCTATCCTTATTTGATTGTTTTTTATTATTGTAAATCGCTTCGCAAAGTCAGAATTCACGCTGGAATGACCAAGGCAAAGTTGTAATGTTTATTCTTGTCGAATATCGTTAAAATAAGCGTCAGGCTCAGTGGGTCTCTCGATTCGCGTTGATCAGCACCAGCGCCACCGTCATCATGTATGCGCGCGGCCTTGCGATACTTTCGATTCGGGCTTTCCGGAACGCGGCACCGACTGCATTCGTCGATTGTTCCTAAAATGGATTGCTTCAGAGAAAAAAGACCATAAAGAAAGTAAGCTAAAGAAAGCTATAAATTAATTAACAACAAAAAACATCCAGCTTGTTGGCAAACGGATCCTCATCCTCATCCGACGTTTCCTCGATGTCGACCTGCGTCTTCTGAGGCCGAATGGCCAATGGCGTGGGCTCCACCTAGGCGTTCAACTTTTTGGCAGATTAAAAACCGGAAATTTTGAAGCAAAAAGTCTATTTTTAGAACTAAACCCGTGTAACAGTGTAGAACGAATTTTTATTCGCATTTTGTGAAATTTAAAAGTAATTTTTTGTAGGATATATGTATACCTAGTCCAGCATTTTATATTGAATTTATGAATGCGCTTCAATAGATAATATCAAAATATACAAAAACGTTTACTTTGGGCCCCGAGATAACTTGGCTTAAATTTGTTTTCCCGAGCCTTTGAGCTTGAATTCTCGGTTTTCCGAGCTCTACCTACCGGCGATGCGCGGCTGGCCAACAACTTGTCGGTCAGCTTGCCCGCCCAGTCGAGCGGCAGGGCGACGTTGATCTTGCGCTCGACGGCGATCCGCTTCAGCTCGCCCTGAATGTAGTTTGTTGTTTGCCGCAACTTTAAGCCGTGCCATGATGAGTGGGTAGTCGGGCACGTCGGAGTACTGCAGCTTGTCGACGTACTGTATGATGCGTGAGAATTCGGATGGAAAAGCGGCGAAGACGCGGGGAGGACCTGGAAGAAAGCTTTTGGTTCTTTTGCATTATCGGGGGGGCAAAATTCGTTGTGGTATTGATCCAGAAATACCCAGGATTCATAGGAAGCCTTATCATAATGGCCTTAGCAAAATAAAACTATATTTCAACTAGAAAATTATCTAAAAACTTTCAAAATGTTTCAAAATGTTTCAAAAAAAGTCACAATTTTGGTCAAAAACGGCCATTTGTGGTCAAAAATCAATATTTTTTTTGTACCTTGTAAAAAACGTTGTAAAGTTTTTACGTTTAAAGATAGTAAAAACAGTTTAGAAACCCTTCCACGATTTATATTTAAAAATTTGTTTTCAGAAAAACTTCCTCCCCCCCCCCCGATAATGCCAAAGCCCGGTACGCTAGGATACGTTTTACTTTCTTTTTGAAAAGCCTCGATTTTAATATACAAATCTCCCATCTCCCTACAAGTCAGCTGGAAGAACTGGCACTTGAGCTGCTTGACGCGTTGCCGGTCGGTGGTGATGTTGCGCCAGGGGAGCGCCGACAGATCGAACAGCTCGACGGCCATGTAGATCCACGACTCCAGATCGTCCTTCCGCGACTGCTCCATGTTGCTGTGGCAGTTGCGCGACGCGAACCGCACGGTGCCGATGAATTTGCACCAGAATCGGTCTTTTCTAAAAATTTGAGGTTGTATCTTTCGCATTATCGAGAGGGAATTCCCTAAATTTTGCGTGAAGTCCAGAAATTCCTAATTACGTCATAGTAACGGGTTTAGTAGTTTTTACTAAAATTTTAATGCTGGAAATTGAAATTCTCACGTTTCACCGCTCGGCCGTTGCCGAAACCGTCGGCTGATGCCAAAGTCGAGAATGTAGATGAGGGATTGATAGTTGCCGATGCCGCAGGCAAAATTCCCCGGCTTGATGTCACTGGAAAAAGTGGTTGTATTCAGCGCCCGAAAATAGAAGATACCGGTGGATGAAGCCGATGTCATGCAGGTCCCAGATCGACTGCATCGTTTGCATGGTGGCTTGAAGGGCCGTTGAAGGGCTAAAAGTCTTATTAAACGGTGAGAGTGACGCGTTAACTATATTTCAAGTGAAAAATTAGCTAAAAAACGTCTGAAGTTTTCAAAAAATTCGAAATTTTGGCCCAAATTTGGGTATTTTTCGTCGAAAATGCTTTTTTTTGCTTTTTTAAATTATAGCATACTTTTTTATATTTAGATTGAAAAATTGGATACTAAAGAAAAAGTAAAAAACCTAAAGTTTCCGCTGGTGCATTTGCGCCGTAAGTCGTCCAACGACAGCGCGACGAGGCCCATGATAATGTACTGGAATTGAAGATTTAAAAATGCAGCTAACTCAGGTCCCACCTTAAATTGCTTAACTTTTCCCTTGTCGATCAGCGGAACGAATCGTAATCTGCGTCCTGGATCTTTCACCTAAAACTATCATAATTCCCACATGTTCTAACGTACAGCCGAGCACGCAGTCAGCACCTCTAATTCGATGGAAAGGCGCATGAAATCCGGGTTGTCGATGCCGTTCATCTCCGTTTTCATCGCAAATTCCTGAAAATAAAGAGTTCCAAATCTACAAGGCAATTTCTTACCTTGCTCGTCCCTTCCTGCCTCACCTTGTAGACGTCGCCGAAACCGCCGGCGCCCAGTAGATGAACAACTCGATATCTAAAAGGCCTTTGGAGTCTAATTTCCGGTAACGCACCGATTACTGCCGTTGTCGATCAGCGTGTCCTTCTTCAGCTTCATCCGCTCGAACTTATCGCCGCGGGCGACCTTATCCTTGCGCTGGCGCTCTTCTAAGAAACAAAAATAGGTAAGGACAGGCTAGCAGAGATGCTTTGAAAGTGAACATGGCAAGCTAGCAGCTATTATTTGAAGGCAAAATGGCAAGCTAGCAGAGTTTCTTTCAAAGCGAGGCTCGGAAAGCTAGCAGAGTTCCCCTGAAAGCGAACATGGCAAGCTAGTAGAGATCCTTTGTAAGCGAAAATGGCAGGCTGGAAGAATTCCTTGAAAAAAGGAGGGCCAGCTAGCAGAGATTCCTGAAAATCCCCCACGAGAAGACGGCGGTTGCTCGAGCATCGACGTCGTTGCGAGCCGTTTCGTCCAGATGTCATTGTCTTGCTCTTTTTCTTTCTCCTTCTCTTTTGCTTTCCTGGAATGAGAGAATTAAGGCATGAAAACCCAGAAAATCATCCTGAAAAGCATTCAAAACTTTTTAGATTTATAAACTTAAAAATTTCACAAAATTTTATTAAGAAAGGCAAAAAAAAAATCGATTTTTCGACTAAACATGGCGGTCTCTGACCAAATTTCCACTTTTTGAAAGTTTTTATATAGTTTTTGAGTTGAAATATCGTTTTTGGCATTAGTAGACAAAAGAATTTTTGTCCCCCCCCGATAATGCGAAAGAAGCTAATAAAGTCTACAAATCAATAAAATAGTTAACAACAAAACGCACTCTCTGCTCGTATCCAACTTCTCCGAGTTGACCTTCGCCGACTTGCGGGGGAAGAATTTCGAAAGCAAAAAGTGCTTCCGGTTCAGCTTTTTGGACGACTAAAAAATGGACGTCACGTGGAAATCCTTCGAAAATATACCTTTTGTTCGTTACCCGATTTTAACATTATTGTAGCCGAGACGTACGTAAGTTAGAAGAGTAGAAAAATGGGGGAAATAACTTTGATACTCGCGCCGATTTGAGTATTTCCTGAATGCAAATTTTCGACTTGCAAATATGTAGATCCAACGATATTTTATCGCTTCACGCAATTACTGTAGACAACAAGGAAAAGAGAGATGGATACCGGTAAAATAGGGAGATCACACAGTGGGTAGATGACCAGTGGACGGGGGGATAACCGTAACGCCTTCGACAAGTTTTTTTCGTGTTCATCATCATCGTCATCAGCGCACCAGCTCGTAGTACAACATGTAGGCCTCGGCGCGTTGCACATCGGCGAAAGAGACCCGTTGCACCTAAAATATAATGAATTCCTTATTTATCAACTATAATAATTTTCTTGACGCGTCCGTCTGTCTGTCCGAAGCCGAATTCAACTCGAAGGGGAAAAGAGCTAGAGCTTAGCTCTCTTCGGATTCGGGTAGAGCGTGGTCAGAAACCCCCAAACTGATTAAAAAATTACGAAAAAGTTTTAGTTTAAATTATTAAAATTAACTTTGAAAGTTTTTTCCTTAGTAAAAGGGGTGGGGGCCCCTCTCCCGGGAGGCCACGCCCCCTTTCCCCTCGCCCCTCTTCGCCAGGCCCCTTCGCGCGCCCAGATCGCTTTCTTAAGTTACTTTAATACTTTTAATACTTTTTAATACTTTTTAATTATGTTAATTAATTATTTAAATCCTATAAGCGAGAAAAGTATGTGTGTTTTCTGTACGGCCGTTTTCTCGGCCGTCAGGCCGCGTTTCGAGCTGATTTTTGGCATGGAGGTGGAAAATGTCACCCATAAAAAACCGTTTTTCGGATTTTTCGAAATTCTTTGATTTAACGATTTTACAAGCAAAAATGTGAAAAATCCTTAACACTTTTGGGTATGCACGTTGTCCGGAACTTTTCTCGGCCCCTAGAGGGAATTGGGGTCTCATTTTTGGAGGGTAGATGGGAAAAGTAATTCCCCAGATACATTTTTTCGGATTTTGCAAAAATCTTTAAAATAAAGTTTTTATGTGTATTTTTCTGAAAGGTCCTTAATAAATCGCGGAATGGGCCGTGGTGTCCAGGCCATAACTCGACGCCCTGATGGAATTCCGGGCTGAAATTTGGATCGTTTATGCAATCAAGGGTGGGGATCATGCGCATCTTATTATCTTTGCAAATTTTCCACAGATTCAAACTCAAAAATAGAATTTTGTAAAGTGACCAGAAGGCCTCCCTCCGGGATCCTTGGTCACCCTTATCTTTGCACCGCCTCCCCAGGACAGAACAAGTCTTTCCCGCCGCCTCCTCCCATGTCCTCTTTGGTGTGGTGGATTAGCTCTCGGCCTACCACGCGCGGGGTCGTGAGTTCGGATCCCGGGCGGAATTTCGTTTTTTGCTTTTTGGTAGTTCGGCTACAAAACATATTTCTAGGTTCTCGGTGTGCAAGATTTAGGTCTGGCTCTCGCTCTAGCGCCGCAGGCCAAAGAAAAGGCCCCTGGCTCGGGCTCTCGCGCCGCAGGCCAGATCCTGGAGAAAAACCAGTAGCTAGCGCCGCAGGCTCAAACATTTTAGCGGAACGCTGGCTCTGGCGCCGCAGGCCAAAGAATGGCTCCTTGGCTCAGGTTCTAGCCCGGCAGGCTAAAAAAAGAGGGTATTCAAATTCATGCTTCCTGGACGTGGTCCAGTGGAAAATGGCCGCGAAGCGGTCTTTTTCCACTGGTATTTAAATCACCTAAAGTCATCGGGAAGGTATTTAGGTAGTTTTTGAAGGGGATTTCAGCCATGGGGGGTATCTAAAGCCATCGGGAAGGTAAAGTTACTTTAATACTTTTTAATACTTTTTAATTATGTTAATTAATTATTTAAATCATCTAAAGCCATCGGGAAGGTATTTAGGTAGTTTTTGAAGGGGATTTCAGCCATGGGGGTTATCTAAAGCCATCGGGAAGGTATTTAGGTAGTTTTTGAAGGGGATTTCAGCCATGGGGGGTATCTAAAGCCATCGGGAAAGTATTTAGGTAGTTTTTGACGGGGAATTCAGCCATGGGGGGTATCTGAAGCCATGAGGAAGGTATTTAGGTAATTTTTGAAGGGGATTTCAGCCATGGGGGTATCTGAAGCCATCAGGAAGTTCTCGATGTAGTTTTTGAAGGGGATTTCGGCTATGGGGGGTATCTGAAGCCATCAGGAAGTTATCTATGTAGTTTTTGAAGGGGATTTCAGTCATGGGGGGTATTGATGGAGGTGGGAAAGGATGTGGTGGAGTGGGACATGTAGGGTAGCCCGAAGGCCAGATGGTTGCAGTCGCGAAGCGACTGTAACCATCTGGTTTATTATATTTTTCCGATTCTATTCCTTCTAAACTAAAATTTGGGAGCTTTCGCATTATCAAGGGGAGGGCTTTTGTCTCTCAGGAACTAACTTGCTAGAATAACTAGAGACTGTGCTCCACGTTTTACTATTTTTCAAGGTACACAACAACTACACACGAACACATAATTTTACTAAATACACAAAAAAAACGATTTTTCGCCGAAATTTCAAATTCCAAAATAATTTTCTGAAAATTTTTCCGAATTTTTGACTACAAATATAGCCGATTTTACTAAAAAAAACTATTAAACTACTTTTTTATGTTACTAGACATGCCTGACACCATCGAAAAAGCCCCCCCCACCCCCGTTACTGCAAAAAAGCCCAAATTTCTTATTCGCTTATACCTGCTTATCGTTCGCGTAGAACCATTGGTCCTTGTGCTTCCGGTAGGTGACGTAGTGGCCAAAGTTTGGAGTGCCTCTGGAAAATTGCAAAATAATAAATTCGAAAGCTAAGCGAAAATTACCGATGTTCCGTGACGGCCGTGAGTTGATAGAGTTTTCCGGCGGCTTTTTTGAACGGTTGCGGGGAGCTTCTAAGAAATTCTATAGTTTTTATCCCACAAAAACTTACACTTTTTCTGACGGCTCTGATGACGTTGAGACCGCGGCCGATGTCGCAGAGCCCTGTAAGAATTTACAAAATTAAAAAGGGTACGGTATTGGGCTCTTAGCGGGGGACCAATTTGTCCCAGTAATTCCGTAAGTCACTATAACAAAATACAAACTATTTTTAAAGCATTTTATACAGTTTTTCTCTATAAAAAGTTTATCCTACTATCTAAAAAAAATTGAAAAAGATATCGAATATTAGAATTCGGATTTTCAAATAAATAAAAAGATTTTTTACGAGTTTCTAGCAAACAAAAATTACCAAAACGACTATAAAAATTTATTATACAAGATCAACAGATGTAGGGGGAAAACAAAAAGTGGTTTAAACCCCCCTGCTAATAGTCCAGTACGATTAAAAGAAAACAATACCTTTCTAACGTGATCCGGCTGAAAATCTTCGGTCCTCAACGTCGCACCGAAAGCAACGTGCTTGTCCCATTTGCACAGGCTGCCGTATTCGTAGACGATGCGCTCGATGCGGATCAGCAACGCATCAGGGAACTAAAGCGTTTCTAAAAATGTCCGCAATGCAGAAAAATTACCAGAGTAATGCCTTGCGACGCGATCAAGCCGTTCGGCTGCTTGCACATGTTACAGGCGGCGCCGTTCCGGAATTCCGGCGCGAAATATTTGCGCAGCATCGCCTCGACGGTGACGAGCTAGGAGTTGGTGTTCAAATTGAAAATTAACTCAATGCTACCTTTCCATCGAAGTACCGCGCTCCTGACACGCAGATCGCGCTGAATTCTTCTTGCGTTTGTTTCTAAATAAATTTAGTTATCTAACTTGTCGAAATTCTTTGGATTTCAATAAATTAAATTTAATTAAAGTCAAATTAAAGTTAGGTTCTTTGGCATATCGGGGGGGATCGAACGTTCGTCTTAGTATAGGAAAGTCCAGTAACTTCATAGGAATTTTTTTCTAATAGGATTTTTAGCAAAATATAAATATTTTTCCACTAAAAAATACTATCAAAAACCTTCAAAAAGTTTTGAAAACGCCGACATTTTGGTCGAAAAACCGTGTTTTTCGCTATTATGTAATAAAAATTTGCAAAATTAGGTTCAAACGTTTAGGAATGCTTTTACGATCTATATTTGCAAAAATTAGATGCTAAGAACCCTCCCCCCCCGATAATGAAAAAGAACCTAGTTAATTTCAATCGGTTAAATAAGTATATATTATGCCGATACTAAAGCTTCACCTTAAAACTACAATTCCTGCCGATGCACTGCAGCTTGAGGTGCATGATTCCGTAGCAGGGTGGGCTGAGCGGGTCCTTCAGTTTGTGCGAAGTGTCGTCGTTCTCGTGTCTAAAATAGGTATTAAGCTCTCCTTTAAAATCCATATGTTTGACGGAATTTTAGCTGCGCAAAGGCTTGTGTTATTTTTAATTTTTGGTGTCGTTTCCGCTCTTCCGAGCCATTTTACCAGGTTTTTTGCCGCTCTTTCTACATCAAAATTTGATAAAAATTACGACTTTACAGCTAAAACTGTCTGAAAAATCACCGCCAAATATTAATTATAATATTTTTATTTTTAGAAGATTCAGATCCCGCGCTAGTCAAAATAAAACCACTTTGAAGACGCTAAAAACCAACCCAACAAACAACATCTCCGTCGACGTCGGCTTCCTGACGAGCCTTTCAACCTCATCGGTGGCTGGATCGAACTGAGAGCTCATTTTAGGCGAAAAACTAACAAAAACTCACGACTCCGATGCCCTCATACAAGCTGTGCTCGGAATTTCGGGTCATCTCGTCGTTGAACAAGTGGAGAATAAAGTTGAACAGCTCGTGCACGTCTTGTTGCCCGGCTAACAGCAGATTCTCATAAAAGACTCGAGCACCAACCCATATCCATCGTATTCGTCAACACTTGCATCGAGTTGATCAACGCGCCAGCGGAGGTGGAAGAGATTTCCGGATCGGTCAAATCTAAAGCTCAGGTTTTGCGCGAAACATGAAATCCGCTTACATACGAACACCTCGCGCAGATCGTTAAAGAACGTGCGCTTCGACATTTGCTCAAATATCTCCTCTTTCTTCAGCCATTCGAGGAATGAGGGTAAACTGAAATCTGTTTAGTTTCAAAGATTTCTGTCCACCTTGCCAATCCCTGCAACAGAGCATTGACGTAGCAGACCTGACCGTTGTTTTCCAGTCCCGGGATGGATGTCGTAAATTTTTCTAAAAGGAAAATCAGAAAAATGTGATTTTTTTACTTTTTCCAGGAGTCGTCGTCAAAAACAGGTACGCGACAGCGACGGCCAGGCTGCCCCCAAAGAGGTAGACGGGCAGTAGCTGCGGGGGTGGTGGTAGCATCGTCTCACAAAGCGAATCTGAAAAAAAATAATGCAAAAAGTTATTTAAAAACTAATTAAAGTTTATTAAAACGCTGATGAAACTGTAATTTTTTGCTTGGATGACCAATTTCCGAGACGACACTATACTCCAAAGCACCGTGTGCGGGCATGGGTACCCGGATTTTGGTTGGGTGATTTATTTATTTTAATTTTTTAAAAGTTTTTTATTATACTTTCGAAGCCCGCAAAATATCACGCAATCGGTGGAATTGTATAAATACCCGTGATTAAAGAATCTATATGGGGAATTAACAATATACAGTGAAAACCTAAGATAACGGCCTAGGATGTCTTTTTCGGCGTAATACTTTTTTGGCTGATTTCTTGGGTATTGAGGTAATTTTTCTCCAATTTTTCGATGGAATATGAAAGCGCCTTGTTCAAATTATTGAAACAGATGGATTTTAGGGACTAAACCAATTTTTCCCTTACCAGTGAAACGAGTGCCCCTGGTTTTCTTCCCACTTTATTAGGCTATTTTCTGTGTTAAATATTAGCGTTGATGTCTTATTTCTTATTCCACAATTTTCAGGTTCACCTCACGATGGGCAAATTCAAGAAGGCGCTCAAAAACAAGGAGGCCTCCTCCCAGCTTCGCCGGAATCCCTACGATCTGGTGGAGCCGGACCAGAGTCGCGAACCACGGAAACGAAATGGGAAGCATTTGGACGATGAGATGCCGGCTTCACAGGTGCTTTTGGACCGGATTTGAGCTATAAAACCGGGTTTAGCATGTCGAGAACAAGATGGCGGCTCGGGTCTTCAGTCAAGCGCAACGTCAGCTAAAAGAAGAGGAGGGGAAAACGGCCGGCGGTGACGATGTGAAGAGGTAGAAGATCTTCTCATTGTCGATTCCTGATTTTTCCAGAGATTATCAACTCCCCGGAGCTGAGGACCAACTCGACGCCGAGGAATTTGAAGATTTGAACCCGGATGAGTATGATGAGAAGGCAGTGGTAGGTTTGAGTATATTTTTGGCTTATCTCGTTGGATGTTTCAGGAAGTCGACCCGAAAGACGAGGAGGATCTGCGGCGGTTTATGACACAGAATGTCGAGAAGAAGCAAACATTGTGGGAGATGATCCAAGATCGAATCGGGCAGAAGGAGGTCGATGCCGATGGGGAGCTCGATATGCCGGAGGACATTGAGGTCCGTTTTTCTTATTTTATAGTTGTTATCATGGGGGTGAAACCTATTTTATACTACAACCCTGTCACGGTATCGTCCGATTATGAAATCTAAAATATTCGTGGAGGAGTCCTAGCTGTTTTAAGATGGAATTGTAATTAGAAACGTGTCAAATCTTTAGACCACCTCTAAACATACCAATTTCGCAACAAGCGACCCAAAAAGAGCCAGAAATGCTCAATAATTTAATTTACTAGACTCGTCAAAAATATTTTTATGACAAAGAAATCTCGGAAATCAGGAAATCAGCCAAAAAGAATTGCATTTGGGCCCCCTAACGATCTGGCAACAAATTTCCTTTTTCTAGATCCGCTCGCTCGAGCCCGAGGTCGTCGACGTCTACCAACAAGTTGGACAAGTCTTGGCAAAGTATCGCTCCGGCAAGCTGCCCAAGGCCTTCAAGTACATCTGCAGTATGGAGAACTGGGAGCAGTTGTTGTAGTACGTTTCGTTTCTACTTTCCGATTTATGCGATTTTAGTCTAACCGAACCGGATAACTGGAGCGCCGCCTCGATCTACCAGGCCACCGTCATTTTCTCGTCAAATCTGAACCCAGCGTCGTGCCAGCGGTATTTCGGAGTCCAGTATTTTTTAGTTTTATTTCCAGTTTCTACCATCACGTGCTCCTCCCCCGGCTCCGCGACGACATCGACGAGTACAAGAAGTTGAGCTTCCCGTTGTACCAGGCCCTCGTAAAGTCGCTGTACAAGCCGGGCGCCTTCTTCAAGGGTCTAATTATGCCGCTCTGCGAGGTAAACTTTTTGGTTTCAAAGTTCATCTGCTTTTGCATGTTCGCCTTAGCGGAGAAGGCAACCGATTTTTTGCTTTAGGATTTAATTTTTCTAGTAAAGAGTGAGGAATTATTTCGACACCGCGTTGTACAATTTTAAGGGTAAAAACTGAGCAATTTTTTGTTTAAGGCTCAAAAATTGGATTTTTCGACCAAATTTCAAATTTTCCATTTTTTAAAAATTTGAGATGTTGTCGGATTTTACTAAGAAACGCTTTTGAACCCGATAACACGTTTTCTCTAGTCCGGAACATGCACCCTTCGAGAGGCCATCATCTTCTGCTCCATCATCCAGAAATTTACGATTCCAATTTTCCATTCGGCCGCTGCCTTGATTATGGTAGGCTTTTTGTGCCATTTCAGACCTTATTTACAGATCGCCGAAATGGAATATTCCGGCGCAAATTCCCTATTCCTGCGCACCCTCATCGACAAGAAGTACGCCCTCCCGTTGCGGTGTATCAAGGTGCTCGTCGATCATTTTGCCAGGTATTTTGAGGCTCTTTGTTTTTTACTTTTTGCAGATTTAAATCTAACACTGAACCCCTTCCCGTCCTTTGGCACCAATCGTTGCTCTCGTTCGTGCAGCGCTACAAGCTCGATTTGACCGAGGCGCAGAAGAAGGATATTTATTCCCTTGTCCAGGTTAGTGGCTTTTGATTTGTACCTAGCACGAGAAAAAAAACCCCGATTCTGCTGCGTTAGTGAGTTGTGACCAGGGATATTTTTTTCGATGAGTCCTTTGCTCTAGCACGGTAGATTGCGTATTTTTACCTGTAATTGAAACTCAGTATATTTTTTTGATTCTCTTGGAATCGCGTTAACAGAATGTTGAAAAACGGCAAAAATATCGAAAATTAGCTTACCAACCCCATTTTCATAGTATATTTTTGGCTAGAATTTAGACTTTTGGTATAGTTTTCCATGCTCTATGAGTTCCAGAAAGCACCTCAAAATAAGGAAAATATCGAAAACCTCCGGTCGAGTAGAACATTACCCCAATTAAATTGGGCCTTTTTGAAAATGTGGTTTTTGCGCTGTTCGAAACCGCAGGAAGTGAAGCGAAAATATGTCTAATTTTGAAAATTTTAGAGAACTTTCGAGTGATAACTAAAGCATAAAAATCTGCCACGCTAGGGGATAGAGGACAAATTCTTTTTTTTTTTGAAGCCCTGACTTACAGACCATTTCCAGGCCCAATTCCACTACATGATCACGCCGGAGATTCGCCGCGAGCTGCAGCACTCAACGGCTGTCCCGAGAACGGCCGTCGTCGCGGAAGAAGCGTCGAGCGGTGTCCGAGTCGTCGACGCGAAGCCCCGGGGAAATGACACGATGGAATTCTAATTCGGTTGTCGCTTTTTCGCTTTCATTGTTTTCTTGTTGATTTTGTCGTTGGTTATAAAGAGTTTTTGGTCGCACCGACTTCTCTCGAACCTTGCTAACCTGTACTTTTTGGAAAATCATAATTTGGAATGGTTTGTTTTCCTTATAAAACGACCCCCGCGCTAATGAGCCAGCTTGAAAAATTTTACAAAAAATGGTTTAGATTGCAACCTCCAGAAATGCCTATAGAAATGGCTAATTTACGCGGAAACTGTTCGTCCGCTTCACCACGATGTAATACACCAGGTTTTAGATTTCATGGATTCAATTTCAGCCGGCAATCCGGGATTTGCAGCCGAATTGGGCGGCTGTTCCGCCCAGCCACGAGGGTGTTACACCCCCATCTATCGCCACGGTGTGCCTCATTTCTGACCGCCACTAGGAGAGGAAGAAGCGACTGGTGAATAAGTGAGTGCGACTCCGCGTTCTGAGTGGCTGGCAATCCGCCACACACCAGTTGCGCCATCCCCTCCCGCAAGGTGGTGCCAATAGTTGTGACGGGCCCTCAGCCGGGGAGGTCGTAAAGCGTTTGGTGGCCATTGGCATACTACTGGGGTTTATCCCCCGGGCTTCTTCCGCGTTTTAAGCTGTTTCCTTCCGGCACGGTGTTAGGGTGCTGCTGCACTTTTTGCAGAGTTTTACAGTAGGACGGCGATTTAGCTTAACGCCTAAACGTTGAGAGCTTAAACTCTTGTGAACAATCGCTACTTACCGTAACGGAATTTTGGTACGTGGTAGCACATTTTGTGCAGAATTTTTCGCTGATTCCGAATCCGTTTTCAAAAGTTGCGGAACCCCTTTGGTCGCGTTACAGCCGATTTTCACGTCGGAATGGCAGAAAATTTGCACTTTAAATCACACTAAAATTGGAAGGATTTAAAGTACACAATTTTCATCACTTTTCCTATTAAAAATACTTTTAAATTGTTACCCAGAGGATGGTAGCAAATCCCTACTAGCCCGTTTCGATTTGAAAATATCACATTTTGTGCAAGAGAAACGCCTAGGGGTTTTTTTAGTTGAAGATCGTTGTTTTTGTCTATTTATTTAGTCGTTTTTTTTAGCTTCCTTATTGCCGTCCGCCTCGAACTATATAAAGTCACCCCAAAACAATCCACCCATTTTTTCCAGCCATCCCCGCTATATCCCGTGTCTGTCCGTCTATATTTTTTTCCTGGGGTATGGCTTCTTCTTCTTTTTTTTGCGTGCTGTAATTCGCATTCTTTTGTTGGGGAATGCGATGTGAACGGCTGTTAGCCCGCCGCGGTTGGCCACGGTTTAGGGGGGCCCACAAACAAGAAAAAGAAGAAGAAAAAAGATAGACGCCCGACTATAGTCTCAATTTACGGCTGCAGTTGAGTCGTACTAATTAAAGGGACTTTCTATTTCTCTCTCTCTATCTGTCTCTCTCTCTCTTTCTCTCTCTCGCTCTCTCGCACTCTGTCTCTCTCTCTCTCACTCTCTCCTTCTTTCTCTGCTCTCACTCGCGCTCTCTTTTTTTCTTACTGATCTGACTATATTTTACTCTTTCCATCTCAACCGACGCTCATTGTTATAATATTTTTATCGTTTAGTGCCCATTAATTTGAAACATTCTTTTCCGAAAAACTGGTGTTTTAGTAGTTTTTCACGCTCTTATTTCGTCCTTGAGCTCAATAATTAACTTAAATAATTTGAGCCTGAAAAGAAAAAGCTACAAGTGCAGTAATTTTTCAAAATTAAATGAGTAATAATGACACTATACGGCAATACACTCATTGTACCATTGTTCGAAAAATTCTGTCGTTTAACGCATTTTTATCTTGAAACATTTTTCCGAAGCACTAATCTCGGTCAATTTACTGATTTTCCAATTTTTTTTGGCTAAGAAATAATATTGTAGCGGCTTTTTGTGATGATAATAATTAAAAACTCATAATTTCCGATCAGGATTTTTGCTTTTTCCTAATTTTTAAACGCTAAAGGCGTGATTTCAAAGTTTCATACGGTGCTTCTGAATTGATGATTTCACGACTGCTTCGATTATTGTTGCGAAAGTTCGGTCCGGAACGACTTTTGCGCTTGAAACATGATTTTAAAAATCCCCAAATTTCGGTAAAACGGTCAATTTTGTATTTCTTTCTTAATAAAAGAGTGTAAAAGTTCGTTATTCCTATATAATAAATTATTTTTGGTAATTTCTAATCGCAATTAACTCTTGTTAGTAATTTTAAGCATTAATACACATTTTCAAACAATATTACAGCGCCAATTCGACTAATGAACGACTGGTTCGTTAATGTTTGAAAATTACTGCGTTTTAAGACCTTTTCTCTTGAAACATTATTTTCAAAGTCGCTACACTTCGATAAAACTTCGATTTTTCCATCGATCTATTACTATTTGTTAGTAACCTGACAATCAAGACTACATTGTTTGATAAAAACGGCCTCGCAGGACTTTTTCTCTTGAAACATAATTTTTAAAATCACTAAATTTCGATAAAATTTATAATAATTGCGACTTGGGAATTTATGATTATGATGACTTTTTTTGTGTGATTTTACTTATGAACTAGTTTTTTTTTAATTTTACGAGTCTAGGGTCGGAGAATTGATCGGCTTCCGGCAAAAAGAAGAGGTAATTTTTTGAAACTTCTTTTGGCAAAAAATTTAGAGTGAATGCGGTCTGCTGCGAAATGTTTTTGTTCCGATTTCATTTTTGCATTACTAACCCCCTCGAGAAGAGGTCATGCTGTGTTGCCGTTTCCAATGTCCTCCCGACGGTCTCGCTGTAATTCGAAGACAAAACATTTTTCTTCCCCTTTATTTAATGGCATAATCGATTATATCATCTTGACTCCAATACTGCTAAAAAAGATGTTATATTTCTAAAGTTATTTAAATGATTATGGAAGAGCCATCAGTGGAAAGCCGGCGATCCAGGTTGGAAATATTTATTTTCCGAACTCAGTCGATTTTAATGGCGATTTGAAGGAAAAGTAGTTCGTTTTGAGACTTCTGGAAAAGATAAAAGCTTTTTGTTGTGAATTTTATATTAAGGTTCTTTTGCCTTATCGGGGGGAGGGAGTGGCGGGAACATCCAAATTATTCCCAAAGGTCACCAAAAATGGTTAGTAACGTAACAGTAAGTATTTTAATACTGTTTTTGCTGAATATTAAGTATATTCCAAGGAAAAACTATCCAAAACCTCTTAAAGAATTTTAAAATTCGCAATTTTGGTCGAAATCGGGATTTTTGCCATAAAATCGACCTTCATGGCGTTTTCTAATAAATATTTGTAACATTTTCCTTTTAAAAACATTGAAAGCAGTTTAGATATTCTTTCTTTGTTAAAAATAGGAAAATTGATCCTCCCCCCCTCCCCCGATAATGCGAAAGCGCCGAAGGCATGGCTTCGTAATGACTTTAAGAATATTTTTTTGGCTATTCAGAACGTAAATTATTTTAGCTTTTACATCTAACTCATCTGAATTAGTGAATTTGGATCAATAAATTAGTTTATTTAAATCAAGCTTTTGCCTCTAAATAATGACTTTTTACCCTGAACTGCTCGAAATTGAAGCCACCTGGTGCTCGAGCACTCGCCGGAGACGAAGAAACGGGTTGATGAGCTGGCGACGATCACACTGGAGGCGACGCAGACCAAGGCTGAAGTCAAGGCCAAGGTTGCGGACGTCACGTCTAATTCAAAGCCCGGCTCGCCGAGGCCTGGTATAAAAAATGTTTCTGAGAAAATTAAAATTGAAAAATGAAGCAATTAAAAAATAATTAATTTTATTGAAACAAAATAAATCTCAAAAACGGCAATTCCTTTTCTTTTTAAATTATATTTTCGTTGCTAAAACTATCATTTAACTTCTTAGCAATTAAAGCATGAAAACAGAAGGCTAAGACGAAAAAGTGAAAAAATTTGCCGGTGCGGGGAGTCGAACCTGCAACCTGTTTCTTGGAAATGGCTGTTTTAGCCACTCGGACATCGTAATAAATTTGTAATAGAAATTAAATTTTTATAAGACTTGTAAGCTTATTTTATACTATTAATTTTATACCTATTAACAACCGGAATAGAAAAAAAGGTGTTTCAAAAATTTATAATGGTCACAAATTTACTTTAGTTTATAGTTATTCAGTTTCGGAGAATTAATTAATTCATATTAATTTTTTGCGTTTTTTAAATAAAATAGGCTGCTTTTAATGGTATTTTTATATATCATATTCAAAGTTAACTATACTATTTAAATTATCTTATTATATTTTGTGTTGTTTCAATAGTTTTTTATTCGCTTAAGAAGTCCAAATCCCGGAGGGGGATTCTTTCAACTTGCAATCCGCGCATTTGGCCTCGATTTTGGGAGAGGAGACGGAAAAGGTTTAGAAAACCGAGTCCATTTAATAGCCAAAATCAGCAGGAAAATCCGCGGAAAAACGAGCTGAAGCTCGAGGCGAAACCCCAGGAGAGTCCGAGTCCGTTTTCCGATGTCACTCACCAAGGTACTAATATTTTATTTCATGTGTTTCGCGTTTCTTCCGTTAAAGCGGTTGATTGAAAAGCTTAATCATATGATCCCGCCGTGCTTCTAAAATTCATTATAGTTTCCTTTTTTTTAAAGGGGTTGGGATAGTGTTCATATGTTTCACGTTTTTCCGGTTCCAACGTGGAATTCTTGAACCTAATAAATCATCTATCAAATGGTATGTTTCAAAAAACCAGTTTTTTGAATCCATTTGCAAAGATATTATCTTTTTTTTGCTATAACATTATTATATTGCATTATTATCGGTAGCCATTAAAACGCGTAGTATATTTTTTATGCCCTGTCAAATCAGATATTGAAAGTTCGAAAAAATCCCGAAAAAAACCAAATTTTTCTGACGGCGGGTAAAGTAAACGGTAGCCTACAAATGTTTCACTTTTTTGGGTTACGGACGTAATTTAGCGGGTTAATTTTGTGTTTATCTGTTGCGCAAACTTTTTCTAAGACGTTATAAACCCGAAATTAGACGATGAGATACCCGAGCCGTCGTCAATTCCACAATCCTCAAAAATCGTCGAGCCGCAATTGTCGCTGGAGATTCTGCCGAGCCATAAAAATTCGGTGCGCGAGGATCCGGAATTGTTGCGGAATGTGGATGAGGTGTGTGCAGGGACGTAGCGTAATACAGGCCCCGGGGGGCCCGGGGCCCCCCCCCCCGAAATCGGCCGGGGCCCGAAAATTTCATAAGGGGGGACCCTTATGATTTTTATTTTCTCAAAAATTTTGCTGCCTGCGGCGCTATTTTTTCACGTTTTTACGGCTATTTGTAGAGCTATGCAACCTTTTTTTCAAAAATTCTTGCCTGCGGCGCTGTTTTTTCGGCAAGCCTTTGAGTTTTTTGGAAAAATTTTTTGGGGGCCCCCCCCCGAAATTTTTTTTCTGGCTACGCCCCTGGGTGTGTGTGTGCTGGAATTTGTAGTTTGTAGTCCTTCTCTGTTGCCTTTCGTTTCGTACTTTGTAGTCTGTGGCTGCAGCTTTTGCTTGTTACTTCGTAGCCTTCTTTTGCAGACCTTGTCGTCTGTAGCCTGTTCTTTTCGCCTGCTTCCTTCTTCTTTGATAGTTTGTAGTCCGTAGCCTATCGTTTTTGCTGTGGAATTGAGAGTTTGTAGCTTGCAGTCTGTCGCCTGGTTCAATTTTTTTACTTTGTTTTGCATCTCCTGGCGTGTAGTTTGTAGTTTGTAGCCTGTCGCTTTTGTAGTTTTTTGTATTCGGCACCTAAACGCGTGGCATGCCAATTTGACAGCTTTTAAAGATTAAAGGGCTAGTGAAGGCACTGGAAGACGTTCTTAAAGGGGCCGTGAGGTTCTGGTTCGTTAGCGCGGGGGGAAGTGATAGCCTGCTACCCCGCCCCCCACGCTAACGAACAAGTACTTTCCTTTGGCTTGCCAGTCCCTTTAATCGGCAGTTGGCCATTTTTTAATTTTAATTTTTTTAATCCAATTTTTTCCAGCTTCGAATGTCCTTGATTGAACGGCTCCGGCTGCGTGTCGGCATTGGAAATGAACTGTACAGGGCCACACTGGCCGAGCTGTTCGCCACCGGGTTCCTCGTGGTCGGTTTTTAAAGGGGCCGGCAAGTCTGAAAAAACAAGAAAAAACTTTTTATTTGATGTCGTAATCAGTTTAATCGGGAGTGTTTTCCTCAAAATTGTTGCTTTGAAAAATAAGTATCTTTGAAACATTTAAATAAGCTTAAAAACCTAATAATTGAAGACAACTTGACAATAGTAGTTTCCAATCAATTTTAGTCCAATTTAAGGCTGAAGCATATTTTTTATAATGGGTATAAAGAATAAAGTGACGGTTTTCTAGGGTTTTAAATCGGTTGTGTAAAGTGACACACAATTAACTAAAGACATAGCAAAAACAACTACTACACCGTCGTCAGTTGCCTTTTTAAATGAATATAAAAGCGTTGAAAACGGGGTATTTAAAAATTTTCACCAAATTCAATGTCGTAATCGGCTAGCCCGGATTTCCCTTTGCAAAACTAGACGTTTTAAATTGCCAAAAGTATCAGGATACTGAAAAAAATGGGTTTTATCCATAGAAGACTTATGTGATGCCTCGTTCCTTTTAATGTGTACGATCTTTGAACGAAAAGTTATGAAAAAGCTTGAAAATTTCGAAATTTTGGTTCTTTGGTCAATTCGTATTTTTAATCATCTTTTTAATTAAAATTTGCCACAAAAAATTCGGTAAGACTCCAGATAACCACCCCCAGCCGGCCCCCAACTTTTGTATCTGCGCTCCCTGTTCATCTACAGGTGTGTAAAGTATACCAAAATGTTCGTCTTGCTCGGGCGAACATTTTGATATACTTTATACACCTGTAGATGAACAGGGAGCCGAGATACAAAAGTTGGGGGCCGGCTGGCGGGGGGGAGGGTAAATGGAGTTGAGCCAAAATTTGTAACTTTAAAACTATTTTTATGTCAAAACGATGACGACATAATATGACTTATTTGCTGTCGTTCTTTCTTTAATTTTATGTTCTTCTTCAGTTCGCCGGCACGTGCGTGAATGCGCAGCACGTACTGTCGAGTGGCCGATACAATGCGTGGATTGGGGTGTGCGTCGGCTGGGGACTCGCCCTCGCTTTTGCCGTCCAAATGGCTTACAGGGTATCTGGTGGGTATTTTAAATTAATTTTTTATTGATTTTTTAACGTTTTATTTTACATACAAATTATATTTTAAATATTTTATTTCAGGTATAAAAAAGTATATTTCAGTTCCGTTCCAATTCAAATAATCCTCTTACTCTACATCCAACTGGAGTCTACGCATCCCGAAATTATCATGACCAATTACCCCTATCCTGCCATTTTCTGGAAACATAATTTCGCAAAGATTTTGATTTGGTTGATCTCAAGGGTCTTTTGCATTATCGGGGGGTGTAATTTTTTGCATAATTTTAGAAATGCTAATAACTTAATGGTATTTTAAGGCGTTTCAATCTACAAAACGATAAAAATAAATCGCAAATCGGCGATTTTTGGTCCAAGGATAAATCTTTCGTATTTTTTAATGGCAATTTGTAGTTTTTATTTTTATTTTTGTAAAATTAGGTAGTTTGTTTTATTTAGTTTTCGAAGACTTTAAAAGCAGTTTCAAAAAAATGGAATTTCGGTAAAAAACCGGCGCCTCTAGGTGGAAAAATCTAAATTTTTGATATTTTGAAATAAAATTTGTCAAGTTTTTACGTTTAGGAATAATAAAAACAGTGTAGAAATACTTCCTGTATTTATATTACAGGGTGGGCAAAAAAAGCCCACAGTTTGGGTCGAAATAACTCGCGAACGGTAGAGAATCGAAGGTACGTTACCATGCCAGAATGCTTAAATATGCTGGGTATGAAGATTTAACACAACTTGATTTTTTCGATTTTCGGCGACGTATCAATACAAATGACACCCGAAAACTGTGCGTTCGGGGAAACTTCATTTGCATTTTTCTCAGTTTCCTGTGGTGGCTAGCTTCTAATCTCTATTAAGTAAGTTAATATATCAGCAGCTATGTACCTACAAAATTTAAGAATTTTTGAGGGTCTGGTTGCAAAGTTATAGAGGAATGAAATTTTATATAGAGAAATTTCGTAAATTTCTGATATTAAAAAAACTTATGGCGGAAACATCAAAATAAGTGGTTGTAAAATACCTATGGGCTATGCACAAGCACATAAACCTTAAAAAAAAATTTTCGGGATCGACGAATTTTCGAGTTTTTCAACGACCCCCTGGTCATGGATTTTTCGAGGTCCCGAAATCGAACTTTGGAAAAATATTCCTAAATTGCCAAAGGGACCTCAGTTGTTTTCTTTGCTTAGCTATGTAGTTCTGGGGTTGATCTATCATCTACGAAATTGCGAGCCACCGTACTCCTTTGGAAGGGCGTCTTTTAGGGCCTCCAAAACGGTTCGTTCGTGCTTTTTTCTAAACCTTGTCATCATTTTATAAAATTTAGTAGCCCCTTGAAAATTATCGTTTTATTTTTATCTGATACCAGTTGAATAGCGCATGCTAAAGCCTTATTCATCAATTTTTTTAACCCGCCGTTGGCGCCAAGAAAATTCATCAAAACCCGAAATAAACCGAATTCGAGGTTGCGTAAAAAAATTTTGGAAGGTGGGGTCGTAGGGATATTTTGAGCAATAAGTCAGTACCATCAGTGGAATAAAACTATGCAAAGATTAAAGCAATTTCACGTCGCAAAAATTTTAAGAAGATTTCTAAACTTCGATTTTGGAATAGGGTCATCTTCGATTTTGAGCTGAAAGTCACCATAATTTTGAATCAGATTGCTCCGGAATTTGACAGGCGTAGATAATAACATCAAAGCTATAATCGTATCCAGAAGACTTAGGTGGCTTTTTTATTTTTAAAAATTCGAAAATTGACCCCGGCCACTCGGACCAAAAATCGGCTCTCTGGCCTTGTTTTGCACTTGGCCTCGTAACTTTGTTATTTACCACCAAAAATCAGTAATTTTTTGACCAGCTATCTTACAATCACCTCTAGAAGGCCCTCGAATTGAAAAATCGTCAGTTTATGGAATTTTGTGATGGCATGCTAAAACGCGCTCCACCGGGGTTACGGTAGAAAACCGAAATTTGCGATTTTCGTGGTGTTTTTGCCATGGAATTGTTTCGATCTTTTGGTAAAACCAATAGTAGCAGTTTTTGGACCAATTGACCAAAAAATTTACAAGATTCTGTGGCAGAATTAAAAAATTAGTTTTTAGTCTTTTTCATGAAAGTTTGTGGATAGTACGCTCTCGTATTTGGCAGCAAGGTGCCACAACCGATTTCCTAACCACCCTGAAAATTTCAGTCGGATCGAAGCTAGGGCGGCCGAGAAAAGCGAGAAAAACTAAACCTACAGTACCCCGCTGGGGCACGTTTTAGCAAGCAATACAAAAATACCATAGATTGTGGTGGGCAGGGACGTAGCGTAAGGTGGGCCCCCTGGGCCCGGGGCCCCCCCCCCCCGAAATCGGCCGGGGCCCGAAAATTTCCTAAGGGGGGACCCTTATGATTTTTATTTTCTCAAAAATTTTGCTGCCTGCGGCGCTATTTTTTCGCGTTTTTACTGCTATTTGTAGAGCTATATAGCCATTTTTCCAAAATTTTTCGCCTGCGGCGCCGTTTTCTGGTTAATTTTTTGAGTTTTTCGAAAAAATTTTTTCGGGGCCCCCCCCCCCGAAATTTTTTTCTGGCTACGCCCCTGGTGGTGGGTTCTGGTGTGGGATCCGAGATTAATATTTGGATAAGTGATTGACAAAAAAACAGCCATGGGCAGTGAGTTATAAGCGAGTTATCACTCAAAGAAGAAAAATAACGCAAATCGCAAAAATTGTTTTGCTTTTAAAAAATGAAATTGACCTCAAAGATTCTAAAATTTTGCCATTACATTTCTACAAATTTATACTATTTTTAGACAAAAAATCGGAATTTTCCCACCACCTGTTCAAGAACGCACAATTTTCGGTCGTAACCAGCGTCAATAGTACAGTTGCGTACCCAAAAATCGAAAAAATCAAGTTGTGTTAAATCTTCATACCCAGCATATTTAAGCATTCTGGCATGGTAACGTACCTTCGATTCTCTACCGTTCGCGAGTTATTTCGACCCAAACTGTGGGCTTTTTTTTTTGCCCACCCTGTAGAAAAAAATGGGTCCCTAGAGAAATGCCTTCCCCCCCCCCCGATAATGCAAAAGAACCCATATTGACATTCAGGCGCCCACCTCAACCCGGCCGTCTCGTTTTTCCAGCTCACCCAGGTGGGTTTATTTTATCTGTTTTTGTTCTCGAACAAACGCCGGTTCTTTAGGATTTCCGGGGGCGGGGGGGGGACAACCAAATTTTTTCGGCCCAAGCCTAAATTTTTTTTCTAAATCGCGCATACGTTTCTGAATGGTTTTTAACTAGTCCTGGGCATAAAAACTACCCACATTTTAATTACAAAAAATTTAATTTTAGGTCGAAAAATCCTATAGAACCTTTAGGATTAGCGAGGGGGGGAAGTTGTTTTTCAAACATTTTTCTAACTTTTTGAAAGGTTTTTCTACCTTAAATATAGTTAAAATTTACTAAAAACAATGTGAAACACTTTATATTTGATTACTAGGTCGACCGGGAAAACCAGGAAAAAATTTGTTTCCCCCGGGAATACTTTCCCCGCCCCGGAAATCCTAAAGAACCCAAACGCCGATTAACGCGGCTTTTTTCCTCGAAATACCTACAATACCGAAACATAATTTTTCTAGGGAAAAATCTCGCCCCTGCGCTTCATCCTATTTGTCATCGCGCAGAATGTCGGCGCCTTTTTCGGGGCCGTGCTCACGTTTTTGGTGTATTACGGTAAGTGGCGATAGATTACGGCACGGGCAGCTAGCAGAGATCATTTAGGGCCTTAAAATTACGAAAAATCGGTTTATTCCTATAAAATTGTTGAAAAGCAATGTTTTAAAATTTCGCTTGGATTGGGCCGTTCGGGAAAAAGTAATTTGTACGCGGATTTCGGATCAATAATTTTTATGTGTCGGCAAGCTAGCAGAGATTATTGGGGAACTCTGTATACAAATTTATAAAAAGAAACTAGGAGAGCTGGCAGAGGCTATTTGGGATAGTCAATGCGCAGTCCTTTCGCATTATCGGGGGAGCCGAATTTTTCCTGCTAATCCAGAAACGTCTAATAACTTTATCGTAAGCATTTTAAATGTGTTTTCAGTAAAATCTGGAAAACCATAAAACTTAGACAAATTAAGTCGAAATTGAGATAGAAATCCAGATTTTTGTATGCTCTTATAAAACGGTAAAAGCAAATTTCTGAAAGACAAGCTAGCAGGGGTCAAAAACACTAGTTCTGGTCGGAAGCTAGCAGAGATTTCCTGAGAAACCCTAAAATTTTCGTTTTTCAGACAAAATCAACAGCTACGACCGAGGGCGTCGCTTCGTCACCGGCGCAAACCGGACGGCCAACATCTTTGGAACGTTCCCCGAGCGCCATCTATCCGTGTTGGGCGGGCTTTTTGATCAGGTCCGATTTTTATCTTATATTTTTCGCTGGATTTTTGGCATTCTTAATTGAAAAAGGGGACGCTTATTTGCCATAAACTCGATTTAACCGTTTTAGACTCTATCCAAGCTGTTTTTTTTCAAATGGCTTTCAAAAAGCTGTCGTTACGCTGTCAGGATAGGCGTAAAATTCTTAAAAATTGCGTTTTTTTGTAAAAAACTCTTTGACGAAAAAACATCAGAAAAGCTCCCCTTTTACCAAGTAAATTCCAGAAAATTTTTGGGATTTTGACAATCGATAGATGCCTAAATCATAAAATCTTCTGCGGCTGGCTAGAAGCGGAGGGGATTTTTCAGGTCACCTGAAACAGCGTAACGCGCATGCATCGCGTTCATTCGGTTTTCCTGCGAATTCAACCTAAAATGACTTTTGAAGCGAAACCTGTGACCTTTCAGGTGGTCGGCACGGCGGTGCTGTGCATGCTGATCGCGTGCGTCGTCGACCGTCGCAATCGCATCCCGCCATTCATGCAACCGGCCTTCATTGGGACGATCCTGATCTTGATCGGCATGACGCTAGGTCAGCTACAACCCTAAAAAAAAACTAGAAAAAGGAAAATAACCTGAAAAACCATTGCAGGAATGAACGCCGGCTACGCGATCAACCCGGCCCGCGATTTCGGGCCCAGGCTTTTCACGCTGATCGCCGGATATGGATGGGGAGTGTTCAGGTGTGGAAATGGGCTCTAAAATAGTTAGAAAAAAATTAAAAACTCCTCAAATTTGGCTTAATTCGCTGCTAAATTGTAAATTAAACCTTAAAAGCGTTTGCCGTTTGCAAAATTCTCAATTTCATGCGGAAAACTTACAAAACCGAGGAGCGGAAATGAACGATATAAGTAGAAGAACCTCCATTTTACAGCTACAACCGCTATAAATGGTTCTGGATCCCGTGGGTGGGCCCCATGATCGGGGCGGTGATCGGCGCCTGGCTCTACGAGTTCTTCATCGGCTTTCACATCCCCGATGACCCGGACACGTCGTATATTCACAGGTTTGGAGCGAGAGGAAAAGTTTTTCATTTAGTTTCTAACGCCTAAATGTGTCTAAACAAAGCTAAAAAAACAGAGCAAGAGGTTTTGCCAGTGTTATAAAGCTCGAAAAACGACGTAAAAGCGGCACAATATTCAGAATCGTCGACGACCGCAACCCAGAAGGGAATCTCCGCGAAATCCACCTCATCGAGACGAGGCCGTAAGTTTGGATAATCCGACCTAGGGAATTAAAAAGCATTATTAGTAACAAAAACTAAATTGCAGGGCCAGCGAGCGCCACGATCCACCACCTCCGCAGCAGATCGCTGCCCAGTCGCAGAAGCCGACATCCTATCGGAACCTCTGAACTCGGCGCTCGGCCCTCCCATCACAAATCCCATAGCTTCATCTACTACGATCTTTCGCATAACCCGGCCCGAGTATGAGCTCACGCACTCTTTTGTCATCCTCTCGTCAGATTCTAATATGGTCCCTTGGAGGAGCCACGTTTCCGCTTGCAGATTTTCTACTGATACATACTGTAGACTCTATACTGTATTAACTGTCTCGCAGACCTTGCCATGCCTTTTCCCATAACACTATCGACATCTCGAATAAAAATGGATTTATTTTCTCCGAGGACAATGGCATATGTTTAAGGTACTTACACATAAAATCGAAAGGCTACAGTTATACACCTAATCGAGACGGTCGTAAACGGCAATTTGCGGGGTTAATAGGTCCACACGTCGGCGTGAGGGTTCGTCGCGAGGATTTGCTGAAAAGAAAAGCATTAGCGTCGCCATTGAATAAAAAATTTGATAACATTTTTGAGCTATTTCTGCTAGGTGGCCACAAGGGCACTAAAAAAAGCTTGCCGGATCGGCCTGCGTCAAAAAAAGACAGCTTTCTGGGCTAGTTTTTTTACACCAATCCGAATTTAGCATTTTAGACTACAAGAACTTCGCTTTAGACCACAAATCACAAAAATTCGACGATGGAAATTTTTCCGCGTATCGTAACGACCTGAGGCCTTTGGTAGTTTGTACTCTAAAGTTAGGTTCTTGTCGCGAAAAAACCATTTTATAGTTTAAAAACGCCAAAGTCGAATTCAACGTACAAAACTAGCAAAGAAACCTGTTCGTAGCTACCGCCGGCCGGGCATTTTTTAGCGACTTTAGGGCCATCCAACAACTCCAAAATTCTCTCCAACCTTGCGCCGCTCTTCAAACATTTTGCTGTGACCCTTCATCATCGAGGCTCGGTGAAGACAGACCTGGTCGTAGCAGGAGCCTGAAAAAAATTTTTTATTAGCCTCAAATAGACCTCGGTTCTGGGGTTTTTGACACGAATAAAATTCTTACCGAGGTACCAAGCGCCGGCGAGTCCCGCGAGCAGCACGCGCTTGTCCCAGAGCGATCGGCGCACCCAGTAGCTCACGGTGAAAGTACCCATCTGCAAAAAGAAATCAGGTCTATGGATAAGGCCTCAATGAACAAGTTGAAAGAAGCTATATAGCTAGACACAGATAAACGATACATAGCCGTCAAGACAGTAGTCACGGAACCAGAAATTATGCAGAAAAACTTTATCGACATGACCCGGATTGTGAGCACTACAATAAATACAGCCTAATTTAGAAGAATGGCGAGAATCATGCTTGTGTCCGGCCGAGGAGGGCTTTGTCGAGGTTCGATTGCCTGAAAAAGAGGGTTGAACGAAGCATATTGGAGCGCTAAATCGCAGATTTTCCCGATTTGTGCTGAGAATTTGTCCAGTGCCTCTCTGTGGCAAGCAGGAATGCAAAAAAGGAAAAGAGCGAGCGACTCGCGACGTACGTTTTGCGTAATTAACACACAAAGCCTAAATTCGAAAGCGACGTGAATACACTCACTTTCCATTCAACTTCCACTCCCTCGTGTGGTTCCAGTCGAAGAAGATGAACGTCGCCGTCAGCGCCGGCCACAGGTAGATCGAGATTCGTTTCCTCAGCAAGTAGCCGGTGGTCAGTGCTGCCATCTGGAATTGAATAAAATTTCAGGGAAAAACAGCGGAGAAAGTATAAAACAACTGGGTGAAAGCCTCATCAATGTGAATTTTTACGAGTAGAAAAAGTTATCCATCCAGTAAGTGTTGAATAAGATAATAATAAATGTAAAATGAAAATCTATGGGATTTGAAAAGTTCAAAAATCTAATTTGTCATTATGATGAGCCTTGACAAAGATGGACGTTCGGAGCGAGACAGCACGTGTAGAAAAAGATGCTCTATATGATTTGACACAAATGAGAAAGTAATAAATGTGAAAAGAAGAATTTATTTAGTTTTTAGACCTTTTTACAACGAATGTTGGACCTTTTGTGCGAATTTTCGCATCGAATGGGCTACTCGGCGCTGCTATGCACACGGGATTTGTGAGAGACCATGGCAACGGCGTTCGACGGCTTTTCACCTGCCGCTTTGAAAAAATAAAAACTAAAACTAAGTTTTGTCACCATAATTGTTTGCTGAAGTTTTATTTTTTTCACAATATCAGTAGGTAGAACGAGACGGTTTCTTCAGAACTTAGGCTTCGTTGAATAGAGCAGTAAATAAGGCGCCGTCAATAACAAAGTCTGGCTTGTTTTATGATACTTTCTAATTTTCTGGAAACTGAAAGACCATAAATAACTTTTCTTTTCATTCCTTTCATTTTCCCGCCTCGATTCTGCGTAATAATGAGCAATTTCGGCCTAATTATCTCTTTTTCAGCATGACGACAAAGGAAAAGGAGCTCGACACAACCGGCCTACTCCCCCCGTTCCAAGGCGAAAAGAAGGTGGAAATCATCGAGACGCCGGACACGACGATGGTGACCATCATCTTGCACGAGGAGGACCACACGATGGGCAACTCGTTGAAGCACATCCTCTGCAGCATGCCCGACGTCGAATTTTGCGGCTACAACGTGCCCCACCCGCTGGAGGACAAGATTCTGCTGCGCGTGCAGACGAAGAACGGCGTACCGGCGAGACGGATCCTCGTCGACGCGTTTAACCATTTGGAGACCATCTTCACGCAGATTGGGAAAATGTTCGAGACTGCCTACGCGAAGAAATAAGTCTAGTAGTCCACGTTGATTTTCCAATTTTGTTGTAGATTACATTCTCTGATTTTCTATTGTTGAGTCTAGTTTACCCGTCCCAATTGCCGTTCTTTTCCATTGAATTTCCTTTTTGACAATTGACTAATTTTTACAGAATTTTCCTCTATTTTGAGCCTTCATGTTCCTGTTTTAGCTTTTGTTTGATCGAATTATCCTCGTTTTTATTGCCCCCCACCTCCCCCGCTTGATACGGGTCTTTTCGTTTTCGCCTGCTTGTTGATTTGTCTGTTGTTCTCTAATAAACAAACCTATTTCAGGTGCGCCTACGATGGCGTTCACATTTGCGGCCTTCTGCTATTTGATCGCGCTGATCGCCGTGGCCTTCTGTATCTTCTTCGCCATCTACACGGTATTTTCATATTCTTAGCATTTTTACGATGCGTTGAGGTGATCTGTATCGATGAGCTGAAAACCGACTACAAGAACCCTATCGAACAATGCCGGAATTTGAACCAGGTTTGTTTTTTGGAGCAAGATTTGAAAAACTTTTGTAGCTGGTCTTGCCGGAGTACATCATCCACGCCGTGTTCACCTTCTTGTTCCTCTGCTCCTGGCAGCCGTTCTCGCTTCTCATCAACACCCCGCTCGTTGCCTTTCACGCTATGAGGTATAGTGAAGAGGCATTTTACTTATTGGGCGGATTTCACTATGCCGAATTTTCACGTTGCTGATTTTCATTGTTTTTAAGGTGTACTGGCGCAGTCATCGTGTAGAGAATATTTACGGTGACGGAAATCAGCGTAGTGAAAATTCGAGATAGTAAAAAATTCTGTGTAATGAAATTTCGCGAAAAAATGGAACCTGACAAGATTTTGTTCTTTAGCTACGTTCGACGACCGGTGATGACGGGCCCCGGCATCTACGACCCGACGCGCATCCTCAACCGTGCCGAGCTCTCCCACCACATGCGCGTGTCATGGATCAAGCTGGCTTTCTACCTCCTCTCCTTCTTCTACTATCTCTACGCGTGAGTTTTTTATCCGACGCTTCGTTATGGATCTTTAGCAATACCGGGGGGTGGGAGAGACATTTTTTACTCTATTTTGCTATGTGTAAAGGATCAACGTTAACGTCTGAAACGTTAAAATAGTGCAATTTTATGTCGAAAAACACGCAAATTTTGCCAGAAGAAGGAAAGCAAGTATTTCTAAATTGTGTTCGCCATCCAAAAACGTAGAAATACTACAAATTTATATAGAAAAAAACACAAAAACGAATTTTTTCTCCATATCCTCAGTTTTTGAAAAGTGTTCGCGTTTCTCCGCCCCAAGTTCACTTACACTTCACGAAAATACCTGCTATTACGTTACTGGGCATAGCTGGCGTTCTAGCCGAAAACATTCGGGGGTTTCTTGAAGAAAGTACTGTGTTTCAGAGAATTCTGGCGATTCCGGGGTTAGATTCGGGACCTTAGTATCAGACTTTTCCTGACGGTATGTTCATTTTCAGGATGATCTACACACTCGTCACCACCTCCTGAATCTCTACCGACTTGCACCACTACCGACTCGCCATCCGCCACGTACCATATTCGACGGCCCTTTTTTTGTGATACGAGTAAACAACGTACTTATCCAGTTGACCCTTGTTCTTTACATGGCAGGCGTACCATTTTAGCTAAATAACCTTAGATTACAATCGAGCGTGGTTCTGGCTCGTTAGCGGGGGGGTGATTTTCCCATTTCTTTATTTTCACGCCCCCCCCCAGTGAACTAGCTCCAGGTTCGGTAAAAAATGAACGCCGACGCGCCCAGATAATGCTCAAATTCTTTATATTTGAGACGTGTTGCTGATCAGCTTTTTGCTGGCCCGTGCTTTCACACCTCCGGGCCCTCGGCTATCTGCCTGCCTGGAAGAACATGGGAAAAGCGGCTTTGCCCCCCGCCGCCCCGTTGATAAGGAAAGCTTTAGGGACACGTCTGTTACTTTTTGGCATACGTCTGTTATTCTTGTACTTCGTGGGGAGGGGCTTGGATTTGAAACTTCTAAAATTGGAGCTTCTCCTAAATGCCGCGGACCTACTCGATACGGACAACCGGGCGAACCGTTTACGATGAGCTGCAAGCGGCGATTTATCCGATCTATAAAAAGGCTGGGTTGATGGGGGTGCTGTTTTTGGCAGGTTGGTGCTGGCAGCATTTTGATGCATATTGATAGAAAATTATAAAAATGAAGCATGCACAAGGTGGGGAATGGAGAGGGGTTATTTTGGCGATGGCTATTTGTTTAGAGGCGATGTAATTAAATATAAAGAATTTCTATAGCATTTCGCAATGTTTTTAATATAAAAACGTTTTAAAAATTTATAAAAGGTTAGAAAACGTTGACTTCTTGCAAAAATCACAGAAACATTACCAAAGCTGCTAAAGATTTTGATTCATTGCTATGCAGCCAGAGGCTCACTTAAAACCATTTGCGTTGTTTCCGGGAGCCGAAATGTTTCAGCTAGGTGGGGATCGAACCCGCGTTTGAACGGAATAATTCAGTGTTGTTATCGTCATGCTGTCATGAGATAAAATTGTAAAATCTTCTAGCTTTTTTTGGCTAATACTCATAGAGAATTCGCGTGAATAAAATGGATTTTTTGTATGTCCGGCCGGGGATCCAGATTTTGTGCTTTGGAAACCAATGTTTTTATTTATTTCAATTTATAAACAGTTTTTAGTATTTCAGAGCATAAGGATTTTACAAGTTTGTGTTAAGAGTGCAAAAATTTAGTTTTTTCGACCAAAGAAGCATTGTTTTGAACAGTTTTAGCCTTTGCTAAATAAAGAGAGCGCTAAAGATACTTTTAGGATCTGTATTGAGATTCGTTTTTTCAACGATCATCGATTTTTTTAGTGTTTAATGTTTCGTGTTCAATTAGCGTTCCTGTTTGTAGGATTTAAATAATCGGTACTCCGCTTGTTTGCGTGCTCCGCTTGTTCTGCGTTTCAAGTTGATACAGTTATTTCTGCGCATATATTGAGAATTGGTCAATTTTACTTCTTTTTTATCGAGCTAGCTACGCATAATTTCGGTATTAGGATCCCAAATGGTCTCTCCTAGCTTGCCGTACTTTTTATTGTAAAGAAAAAGTAAATAAAAATCCAGAATTTAGTGCTAATCGTGGGTGTTCACTGTTGGCTGGCGATTGCCATCGTGCACCGTTTCGTGACGGCCATTTTCCTGCTCGTGTGCGTTTGCCTTTTTTGGGTGGGGCTTCTCGCCCATTTCTACGGGCATAAGCTGCCTGAGGATCCGTATAGGTAGGTTTTTCACAGCAAGATTTAAACGGGGATTTTATATACTTTAAACTAGCAGGCATTATGAGGCTTTTAGTTTATTTAAATGGTTTATTTATGTAGCTTAAGTAAATTCAGATAGAAAATGCTCATTTAAACGTTTATTTGGTAAGTTTGCAACTAGTGAAATCTTTATTTCACTTGCCAGGATATCTTGACGCAATTGAATGGAATAGACGAAAATTGCAGCGTGAAAATGGCGAAACAAACGTTTTTATTAGTTCTAAAAGTTTTGTACTCTTTTTGGCTTTGAAAAAAGCTCATTTCTAATCTAACCAGGGTTGAAAAACCGCTTCGCGGCTTTTCAACCCTGGGCCCGTCTAGGACATCTGAAAATTTGACTTTACATAGGGCTTGCCGAATGCCGATCACCAAAAAATGAAAAGCGCACCCTGCCTCCCTTTTTATAGGCTACGGCCACTTCCGGTCAATGCTAATTGCCTCCTAACAAAGAGATTTTTCGATATATTTACAAAAACTTAATTTTAATAGTGAAAACAGCCGAGTTTCTTAAATTGTATATGTGTGCACCCATCTCGGGACCATTACGCACCTAATGACGTATCATACGTACCTTAAAAACCTTCCCCTGAGGCTGTAGGTGCGGTACATACTTACGGAAGTTGCATGCAAATATACACACACACACACAGACACTATTTTTTTATATATAGTAGGATCATCATCTCAAATCTAATTCCTTGAAACCAAGATACTGATAAAAATCGATATTTTGGTTTCAAGTAATTACACCAGTTGTCCAAATTAACGATTTAGCAGCGAAAAAAAGCTTAAAAATTTTCAAAACACAATTTTTCAAAAACATTTTTTTTGGCGTCAAGCAGCACAAGATGTCAAATTGTTTTTTCTAATAAATCCAGAAGAAGTGTTTCTAAACTGTTTTTACTATTCCTAAGCGTAAAAAATGTACAGATTTTAATGAGAAAATAGAATAAATATAGATGTTCGGACAAAATTTCCAGCTTTTGCGATTTTAAATAGTTGTCCCAATTGAAATATAATAAAAAAATTACATAAAAATATTATTGAAACACTTGATTTTACGTTCATATGATTTTCTGGACTTGTAGGAGAAAAAAAACATTACCTGACAAATTCCCGAATCTATCATACAACCACAGATTGGACATATTAGCCCAGGCAAGAACCTAACAGATTTTGAAACTCAATTTTTTTTTTGGAAAAAATTACTTTAGCAAAGTGGAGGCTCAACTTTCAAAGTACAAATGGCTACCGTATATCGCCGCGTTGCTAGCGCTCGCGGCAGTTACGGCATTTGTGTTGACGCAGGTGGGCGGAAATTGATACAAAACACCAGCATTAACAAATATAATTTTAGTCACTTCACTCTCGGCCTCGGCTGCAATCGTTCGGGTCGTTGATTTTGATCCTAATAGTTTCGATCCTGTTCTCCGACAACCCGGGCCGGGTGGGTGCTTCGAAATGGGTTTTATATCTAGAAAATTGAGCGAAATGCCTAAATATTCTCTACCAGTTGCCTCCTTTTTGCTAGCTCCGCTAAAAATCGTGCCCCCCCCCCCCGCTAATAGCCCAGTACCGAACCTACAAGCTAACCGAAAAATAAGCCTCGAGACTTCACGAATTGCCCTATTTCGGAAGAGCTCATTTCAGGAAAATTCTGAAACATGAATTTGTTGAATATTTTTTTTGCTGGCAGAAAAATCGTCGAAATTCATAAATATTGACTGCCAATGGCCTCCTTTTAGTCAGCCCGCTAAAAATTCTCCCCCCCGCTAATAGCCCAGTGCCTCATTTACAAGTTATCCGAATAATAAGCTTCAAGCCTTCTCGAAATGCATTTTTCGGAGGCTCGTTTCAAAAAAATTTTGAAACATAAGTTTTTGAAATATTTTTGACTTGCAGAAAAATTGGGCGAAATTCCTGAATTTTAATCTTTTATCTCTATCAGTTGCCTTCTATTAGCTGCCCCGTTTAAAAAGCTCGTTCCCCCCGCTAAAAGTCAAGCACCGAAATTTTGAGTTATTAATTTAATAAATTTTAATTAAGTTATTATTAAATTTTTAATTTTAAATTAATTTTTTTTCTTTTCGAACCCTGAATTCCAGATAAAATGGCGTCCCGTAGTTTGTGGTATCGTGCTGCAGTACTTGGTGGCGTTGGCGATTCTGAAGTGGGAGGCGGGCAGAGGTAGGGTTTCTGACAACAAATTAAAAATTTAATTAAATCTTAAAAATTAATAAAAACATGGGTGCCGATGCAGTTAGGGCAGGGGGCAGTCCAAAATTGGTAGTAAGGGGTTACGAGGCGCTCCGCTCAAGCTACTTGGTTTTCAGCCTAAGCCTAGGCTTATCTTACAAGGGAAGTGCACGACCGGCCCACGAGAAATCGACACGAGACATAATGGATCAAAGAGAATCGGGCACGGGGATTCCGAATCTGTAATCAGAATTTGCTAAATACAACGGAGAAAAAAGTTATGAAGCTTCAAAGTTGGTAAAATCGCCCAAAATTGGACTTTTATGGGCCTGTCAAGGCCCAGGGAATGGGAATTTGCCACAATCCATTAGTGCATCTTGTTCAGCAGAAAAAGCGCTTTCGAATGAGTTATCTTACTTCAAGTTTACGATGATTTCGCGAAAATCTTTTCTATGAACTTGACAGGCCATACCCTTGCCCGTGAATCCAAAAAACTTTTTTTTCAGTGAATTGTTTGCAAATGCTACGTATTACAGCTCATTCGAAAGCGCTTTTTCTGCTGAACAAGATGCATTAATTCTTTTCTCCTCAATTTCGTTCCCCCGGTTTTTACGAGCCCTTAAAGGTACCGTTTTTGGCGATTTGGCCAACTTTGAAGCTTCATAACTTTTTTCTCCGTTTTATTTAGCAAATTCTGATTACAGATTCGGAATCCCCGTGTCCGATTCTATCAGATCCACTATGTCTCGTGTCGATTTCTCGTGGGCCGGTCGTGCACTTCCCTTGTTAGCTTTAACTAAGCCTAGCTTATCTTCAGCTTCAAATTGACTTACGAGGTCAAAATGGGGTCATTTATGGGTTAGCTTACTAGGGAGGTATCTGAACTCGGCATCGAACCTTGAGAAGTCAGATACACCATTCGACGCGCCTTGTCGAGGGGGATTCCAAATATGTAATAAAATCAACCAGAGCCTATAACGATAAAAAGTTATGA